GTGTAACTTCACCGACAGTTTCTAAATTGCAGCTAATATTTTGTTCGATTATTGGTAACATCATTATCCGATATAAACCGAATAAACGATTATGTAAGCCAATACACACACGATTTATTTGTTTTGAGTGGTTATGTAGAGGGACAATATTTTCATTTAGGTTAAAATTGGCTTCTAGCATAGGTGTTATTTTTATTAATTTCATTTTAGTATAAGGATGATGTTGAGAGATATCAAGGACTTGTTCATTCAAGAAATCAATTTTAGTTTTTGAGTTCAATAGAAATATTTGATATTTAGAAAATTAATATTAAATGTTGATCAACTATCAATAAAAGTGTCTACTTTTCATTAAACAAAACCGCTTTGAAAAATCATTTTTAGTTATTGAGATACAACGTTTTAAATTCAACCGAAATTTTAAGTAATTTTTGACACTTTCTTGGATTCATTTCAAAAATTTGTTAAAAATCGATTTCTTGGAAAATTAATATTAAATGTTGATCAATTATCAATAAAAGTGTCTACTTTTCAATAAACAAGTCCGTTTTGAAAAATCATTTTTAGTTTTTGAGATACAACGTTTTAAACTTAACCGAAATTTTGAGTAATTTTTGACACTTTCCTGGATTCATTTCAAAAATTTGTTAAAAATCGATTTCTTGGAAAATTTATAAGAAATGTTGATCAATTATCAATGAAAGTGTCTACTTTCCATTAAACAAGACCATTTTGAAAAATCACTTTTAGTTTTTTAGATACAACGTTTTAAGCTCAACCTAAATTTTCAGCGATTTTTACTCTTTTTTGGTTTCATTTTAAAAATTTGTTAAAAATCAATTTTTCGGAAAATTAATATGAAACATTGCTCAATTATCAATAGAAGTGTCTACTTTTCATTAAACAAGTCCGTTTTGAAAAATCACTTTTAATTTTTGAGATACAACGTTTTAAGCTCAACCTAAATTTTTAGCGATTTTTACACTCTCTTGGCTTCATTTTAAAAATTTGTTAAAAATCGATTTCTTGGAAAATTAATGTAAAATGTTGATCAATTATCAATAAAAGTGTCTACTTTTCATTAAACAAACCCGTTTTGAAAAATCACTTTTACTTTTTGAGATACAACGTTTTAAGCTCAACCTAAATTTTTAGCGATTTTTACACTTTCTTGGCTTCATTTTAAAAATTTGTTAAAAATCGATTTCTTGGAAAATTAATGTAAAATGTTGATCAATTATCAATTAAAATGTCTACTTTTCATTAAACGAGTCCATTTTGAAAAATCACTTTTAGTTTTTGAGATATAACGTTTTAAACTCATAACAAATTTTAAGTAATTTTTAGATTTTCTTCGATTCATTTTAAAAATTGGTTAAAAATCGATTTCTTGGAAAATTATTATAAAATCTTGCTCAATTATCAATAAAACTGTCTACTTTTCATTAAACAAGACCAATTTTAAAAATCAGTTTTAGTTTTTGAGATACAACGTTTTAATCTCAACCAAAATTGTTAGCGATTTTTACACTTTTTTGATTCATTTCAAAAGGTTATTCAAAATGTTGACCAATTATCAATAAAAGTGTCTAGTGTTCATTAAACAAAATCGTTTTTAAATCACTTTTAGCTTTTGATATACAATGTGACGTTTTAACAATTTTTATCTTCAGTTCCAGTATTTGCAAAATCTTTCTTAACTTATGAGATATAAACTTTTGAATACGTTTTAACAATTTTTAACTTTCTTAGAACTAATTTTAAAGAAATTAAGAGTTATGCAGTAGCTGAGAATTATTCGCAGACTTTTTCGAATAAAGGAAAGCGTAGATACCGCTTATAAATCGAAAATTTAAAAATAAGGACGCCGGCGTGATATTGAGGATTTGAGGAGCTATTAGCAGAATTAGAAGAGTGAAGAAGACAAAAAGAAAAAATATTATTTGAATTTCCTTGGCTAAAAAAGTTTCTTGTTCAACACAATTATTCCAAATCAATCAAGATTGTTCATTTATGTCGATTTGTTGAAGATCAAATTTCTATCCCAAAGAATTTAATCTACTATAATAATTAATTTGTTCATTTTTAATCGAAATCTACGTTTTTAAAGCATTTCCTCATTTTAAATTAATTTTCAAACAAGATATGAACATAACCTCAAAAATTCAATTTTAATTGCTTTTCTTCAATTTAAATCTTTAACACTAATAAGATTTTTATTTCAATTATTAAAACAGCATCGCATTTATTATTTATATTTACTATTTATAAAATAATAATTTTTCGACTTCAATTTGACAGTTAAGGTTATGAATTTTTATAACCTCAAAATCAATTTTAGTAATAAAAACCTTATTTTTTAATTCCACTATTGATTATTGTTTTATTAATCGAAATCCACAACCTTTTTATAACAATTCCTGAAAATTTGATGATTTTAAATAAATTTTTAAACAAATTATGAATACTTTAACCTCAAAAATTTTGATCCTTTATATTTTGACCACGCAAAAGATTTTTATTATGCCATTTCGTTTTATATGGAGTGCTTGAAAAATAGGTATCAAAAAAGAAATCAACTATCAATTTCANTGATCAATCATCAACAAAAGTATCTACTTTTCATTAAACACATCCGTTTTGAAATATCTCTTTTAGTTTTTGAGATACAACGTTTTAAGCTCAACCGAATTTTAAGTCATTTTTACACTTTCTTGGATTCATTATAAAAATTTGTTAAAAATCGATTTCTTGGAAAATTAATATAAAATGTTGATCAACTATCAATAAAAGTGTCTACTTTTGATTAAATAAAACCGTTTTGAAAAATCACTTTTAGTTTTTGAGATACAACGCTTTATGTTCAACCGAATTTTTTAACGATTTTTGCAGTTTCTTGGATTCATTTAAAATATTTGTGAAAAATCGATTTCTTGGAAAATTAATATAAAACGTCGATCAATCATCAATAAAAGTGTCTACTTTCTATTTAGCAAAACCGTTTTGGAAAATTACTTTTACTTCTTGAGATACAACGTTTTAAGCTCAACCGAATTTTAAGTCATTTTTACACTTTCTTGGATTCATTTTAAAATTTTGTTAAAAATCGATTTCTTGGTAAATTAATATAAAACATTGCTCAATTATCAATAAAAGTGTCTACTTTTCATTAAACAAGTCCGTTTTAAACAACTACTTTTAGTTTTTGAGATATAGGTTTTAAGCTCAACTTAAATTTGTAGCGTATTTTACACTTTCTCGGGTTCATTTTAAAAATTTGTTAAAAATCGATTTCTTGGAAAATTAATATAAAATGTTGATGAATTATCAATAAAAGTGTCTACTTTTCATTAAATAAACCAGTTTTAAAAAATCACTCTTACTTTTTGAGATACAACGTTTTAAGGTTAACCTAAATTTTTAGCGATTTTTACACTTTCTTGGATTCATTTTAAAAATTTGTTAAAAATCGATTTCTTGGAAAATTAATATAAAATGTTGATCAATCATCAACAAAAGTATCTACTTTTCATTAAACACATCCGTTTTGAAATATCTCTTTTAGTTTTTGAGATACAACGTTTTAAGCTCAACCGAAATTTGTAGCAATTTTTATATTTTCTTCGATTCATTTCAAAAATTGGTTAAAAATCGATTTCTTGGAAAATTAATATTAAATGTTGATCAATTATCAATAAAAGTGTCTACTTTTCATTAAACAAATCCGTTTTGAAAAATCACTTTTAGTTTTTGAGATACAACGTTTTAAACTCAACCTAAATTTGTAGCGATTTTTACACTTTCTTGGATTTATTTTCAAAATTTGTTAAAAATCGATTTCTTGGAAAATTAATATAAAATGTTGATCAATCATCAACAAAAGTATCTACTTTTCATTAAACACATCCGTTTTGAAATATCTCTTTTAGTTTTTGAGATACAACGTTTTAAGCTCAATAAAAATTTGAAGTNTGATTTTAAATAAATTTTTAAACAAATTATGAATACTTTAACCTCAAAAATTTTGATCCTTTATATTTTGACCACGCAAAAGATTTTTATTATGCCATTTCGTTTTATATGGAGTGCTTGAAAAATAGGTATCAAAAAAGAAATCAACTATCAATTTCAAGTCGAAATGAAAGTATAAATTTTTAATAAGATCGGACGGGTTCACTCTCAGACGTATCGACGTCAAAAATTTATGTGTCAAATGTCAGGGGTGACAACCGAAAATAATAAAAATTATATAAAATAAAAATTAAAAATGTTTAATTTAATTTATTATTTATTAATTTATTAATTTATTAATTCGAGTTATGTTAATAAAAAATAATTTTTAAAAATATTTATATTTTAAAATGTTAGTAAATTATTAAAAATTAAATTAAACTGTCAAAGTAAAAACAAAAAACATCTGGATTGTAAAAGTCAAGTTGAGTTCTCTGAAAGCAGCAGACACAATCATCGATCGTTCCGTTCCTGAAGGGTATAATTTGTTTATTCTGCCATTCCCGTTAAATTACATCACGTAAAAACACCCGGACGTTGTAAAATCGTTCTCGTTAAGCGAAGAAAAAAAAAATTGTTGTAACAAACAACCAACAACCACCTGTGCCTGTGGTGGATTCGTTGGCGTCGTGGGGGCACGGCCTTCTTGTATCCCTATTGATTTTCCCTGTACATTGCGGATATTTTTGACAAGCGAATACCGGTCCAGTAAACCATGCCAAAGAAGAAGAGTCGAAATTACAAGTGAGTACTCTCTTTAATTGATAAATCCAATAAAAATTCTTATCGAAACATTAAAATTTTTATTGAAACTCAAAATCAAGGTGAAAGAGAAAAAAATCGGCGAAAATTAGAATTTTTAGAGTCAATTGGATTTTAGTGCGCCACACGAGGTTTAAAATTAAAAAGTGAAGCCGTATTTAATGAAGTTTAAGTGTAGATTAGAAGGTGTTTTTTTAACGATTAAGATTATAAAAATATTTACTTACTTTCCGAGTTCCTCTTTCAGCTCGTAGTTATCGCTAAAACGGGTACAGGCCACGGGGACGGCCATAGTAACAACTGCAGTGCCAGCTATATAACCTACTGTATATTTCCCTCACTGGCACTATAAAGCAAATGGAGGAAGCGAGGTGCATGCGCGAACCAACAGAACAGACAGCTCGATAACTAGAACCGGAGGAAAGTACAACGACGGAACGACGGGTACGGTACACACCAGCAGACCACCGACAGATACTTGTCGCTGGAGAAGAGCGAGGAGCGTTTTTTTTTTTGAAATTTTTTGGCTGGCAGACGGCGAGCTCTTCCTGCTACCGCTGTCGCTCGCCACTAAAAACCGTTATGATATTTTAGATTCGGTCTTGTCGTTGTATAATATAGTTAAGTTATTTATAAATCGCGAACGCAAGACTCGGCGACTCTCGAAACGCGAATGAGATGGGGGAAAAACTCTTCTCGATATTTCTCTCGGCCCTCCTCGTCCCACGACGACGACGTCGACTCGAAAAACCGGACGACGCGCCGATGTTCCTCGGGGACATAACCTAAAAGATCAATAGTCGCAGGTGGAAAGTGCGAATTGCGCAGAACCGAATCAAGAAAACAAAGATTTTCCAATCAATTTATATTCAAGTCCGATAGATGGCGGCATTTTAACTTATCGCTGTAATTATATTCTATTTATTTCTATTAGTTTTAGATCGATAGTTTTGATTTATGTTTATTGCAAAGTTAAATGCTTTTAATTCAAGTCGTAGATGCTTCAGCAACAAAGATTCTTCTTGATTGAAAGTGCTAAGTTAAACCTAGCAGAAGAAGAAGAAGACAATTATTAACTTATTACTACTTAACTCCAGTAGTAAGTAATTAACTCATCTGATCATATCAACAATTACACAATATGCTATTTGTTACATACAATATCTGTCGTGACGAAGATAAAGATATCGAGACAACCTGGAAGGCTTGCAACGCAAACCATGGTTTTCAAAGTTAAAGTAAAAATACTGGGAAAAATTCTCCTCAGATATGGAGCACGATCTTTGTAGTACTCAAAAGAAGGTATGGACAAAAACTCGATTCATAGCTTCCTCTGCAATGAAGACAATCTAAAAAAAAAGTACCAGTAGCAAATGGCATCATGCAAGAAGATAGTCTTAACCCATCTTGTTTAACTTAAGGCCCACGTTTACTATCCTCCTGATAAACTATCTAGGGAATAATTACCATAGTTACAGCGGTTTTAAGCGCTAAAAGTGGGCCTAATAGAGTTTAATTTAAAGTAAATGGATTCATCTCATTAACCAGATTATTGTAATTAACTATGTCAGAAGAAGGAAAATCAAGACAAGTTTGCCTTCGGTCTGTTACAATTATAATGTTCAGAATATGAGCTCTATTGATATTGTTCAGTTTTGGCTACATAGCTATAAACTTGGAGATTTATTCCTCATGACGAATAATGATTAACGGGCGAAAAAATTAGTAGTAAGACTTTCTGTGTTGTAGATATCCGTGATATTTACTTTCAAATTAAGAATACATAGAACATTTTAAAATAACATCACAGCAAGTGTTCGAAGTTATTTCCTATATTTTCGCCGATTTAAATCGCCAAGTTTATGCGTATAGGTTGATAATTACCCTGTATATAATTAAAAATTTCCATTAAATCTACTTGAGATTGCTCTGATTAAGAAAAATAATAAGATGAGTGAATAGAAAAAAGATCTAAAAGCAAAATTCATTTTGGTGCTCAAGTACGTTATACAGTATGTCCGTAAAGTAGCGAGTATCAAACGGCAATTCCCTATTGTTATTACGGAATATGAGAGAATTTTTTTCTGAATTTAGTACAGTCAATGTTAATATTGGTTACATAAGAAAATGTTTGAGAAAAATTACTTTCAAGTTTAACTAGTTCAAATTTGCTTGACATGATCAAATAGCAGTAGTCATAAGTAACTATGGTAACCAATTATTTTAAACAATTTTCTAAGTGTCAAAAAGTGATTTAGTAAAGCTTGTTAAAGTTGGTGACGCGCCATTTTGTTAGAATAACTGCCTTTTTAATTGAATTGAGTTATCGAGATGAGTCCGTTATGGAAGGAATGATATCGTTTTTAAAAAGTCTAAATATCTCTATCTAGTTAAGGTTTCCTCAAAAAAGAGAGGACCCAGGGCAGTATGTGTATCCTATAGCTGCATCTCTGATTTAATTAAATCAACAAACTCGAAGAATGTTTCCTTTTTAATCCTATAGAAGTTCTGGAATTTCTCAGGATGTATACAGGGTGTATCAGGTATGAGTAGAAAAAATTTGAAGGGTTATAGGTCTCCTCTTTCTGAATAAAAAATTCTTATAACAAAATGTCCCATTCTTTGTCCTTCTTAAGATATGATACGATAAAGTTAAGAGTTCACAAGTTTGAGTACTACTGGTTAATGAATACGTAGGCTTTGCTTTGCAATTTGTAATTTGTTTCTAGTTTTGTAATTTGTTGTTTTTGATACAATAAGGAAGTTTATTTATTAAAACCTAAATTTTTGTAAATTTTCACATTAAAGAGTGATAAATTTATTGGAATAAAGTAAATAACCTGTAAAAAATATCTCAAAAATGACTTTTATGTGGCAAATTAAAGCTATATTACATAAACAAAGCCTGCTTAATATAATTCTTTATACAGCAGTATTTAAACTTTCAAACCCTTAACTTTATCGTATCATATCTTAAGAATGGCAAAGAATGATACATTGTGTTATAAGAATTTTTTATTCAGAAAGAGAAGACCTATAACCCCTCAAATTTTTTCTACTCATACCTGATACACCCTGTATAATACAGCTGCTAAGAGGCAACATACAGACTATGTATTTTTCTTCTTTTCTTTCCTCTCCTTAACATGATCGTCACAATCAACGAATACGCCTGGTTATTGGGATGTCATCGGAGGTTACCTGGAGTCCTTTCTTTGTTTGGTCCGGATTTTTTGACGATTTTGGCTATCCGATCGCCAACCATTCTGTCCACATGGTCTCTCCATTCTTTTCTTTTAGCTTTGACTTCATCTTCCATTTTGCAGCGTTGTCTCATATCTTCGTTTTTCTTGTGAATAGTCTCATTTCGACTATTCACTTTATTGCTGCCATTTCGGCTCTTGTTTCCCCTGCATACGTAATGACAGGTCTTACACTCATTTTGTATATTTTTATTTTGCTCTCAATTAATATGATTGTTCCTCCAAGTGATACCTCTCAGGAAGCGCAATATAAGTCATAATCACTTGTTTTTTTTACTTATTCTTTTATATTTCTGTTGCTAGTAATGTTAGCGCCGAAGTATTTAAAGTTCATGGCCGATCCGGTTGTAAACAGCTAATTTACAGCGTCTCGGTTCTTTGGATATTGTGAAGCATTCCGTTTTCTGATTATAAATATTCCTCGTCCTCAGCAACAAGCACCGCGTCGTCAGCGTAGCATATAATTTTTACAAATTTATGCTGAAATGTGTATCCCTTGCGTGCAGCTTTGACTTTGCTAATTATTTCATCCATAGATTCGTTACTACCATCTTTACGCTATGATTGCTATTTTACGCGCTATGATTGGCTAGTAGATGGGTTTATCTATAAGATACATTTAACTAAAAATGGTAGTAATGGACCTTAGAGCGCGAATTTATCTATCGGATAAATTTATCAAGGGGTGGTAAAAGTTTTTCAACGATAGTTATCAACACAACTCAACCTGACATTTTTGATGTTTCTAGAAATTTTTATACTTACCAAACTGTTTTGACATTTTTAACACCTTTTGATACTATCAACCCAACACAATCATCTTTAAGTCTTCGCAATTTTTTTTACTTTCACGGATTTCTAAGTTTTTGGTGACTTTTTGTCACTTTTTAACTTCACCTGACTCTTTTTGACATTTCTAAAATTTTTTGAATTTATAAACTCAACCCAATTTGACATTTTTGATACTTTTTAGCAATTTTTATACTTACCTAACTGTTTTCGACACTTTGAACCGAACACAATGACTTTTGATGTCTTCACAAATTGGATGTTTCCAAGATTTTTGATGTTTTTAGCCATTTTTTAATTACACCTAACAGTTTTTGACAATTCTGAAATTTTTTGAATTTAAGAACTCAACTCAACCTGACTTTTTTGACAGTTTCCAACAAGTTTTATACTTACCAAACTGTTTTTAACGTTTTTGACAGTTTTTAGCACACTGAACCCAACACAATCATCATTGATGTCTTCACAAATTGGATATTTCCAAGAATTTTTAAGTTTTTGATGTATTCTGCCATTTTTTAACTACACCTGACTCTTTTCGACATTTCTGATATTTTATGAATTTAAGAACTCAATTCAACCTGACATTTTTGACAGTTTCTAGCAATTTTTATACTTACCAAACTATTTTTGACATTTTTAACACTATCAACCCAACACAATCATCTTTAATGTCTTCCAATTTTGATATTTTCACGGATTTTTAAGTTTTTGATGCTTTCTGTCACTTTTGAACTTCACCTGACTCTTTTTGACATTTCTGAAATATTTTGAATTTATAAACTCAACTCAATCTGACATTTTTGATACTTTTTGGCAATTTTTATACTTACCTAACTGTTTTTGACACTTTGAACCTAACACAATGACTTTTGATGTCTTCACAAATTGGATTTTTACAAGAATTTTTAAGTTTTTGATGTTTTTTTCCATTTTTTAATTGCGCCTGACAGTTTTTGACTATTCTCACATTTTTTGAATTTAACAACTCAACTCAATCTGACAATTTTGATATTTCTTATCAATTTTTATACTTACCTTACTGTTTTAGACATTTTTGACAGTTTTTGGCACTCTGAACCCAACACAATCATCTTTGATGTCTAAACAAATTGGATATTTCCAAGAATTTTTAAGTTTTTGATGTTTTATGCCATTTTTTAACTACACCAAACTCTTTTCGACATTTCTGATATTTTATGAATTTAAGAACTCAACTCAACCTGACATTTTTGACAGTTTCTAGCAACTTTTATACTTACCAAACTGTTTTTGACATTTTTAACTCCTTTTGACACCATCAACCCAACACAATCATCTTTAATGTCTTCACAATTTTGATATTTTCACGAATTTGTAAGTTTTTAATGCTTTCTGTCACTTTTTAACTTCACCTGACTCTTTTTGACATTTCTGAAATTTTTTGAATTTATAAACTCAACCCAATCTGACATTTTTGATACTTTTGGCAATTTTTATACTTACCTAACTGTTTTTGACACTTTGAACCTAACACAATAACTTTTGATTTCTTCACAAATTGGATGTTTTCAAGAATTTTTAAGCTTTTTATGTTTTTTTCCATTTTTTATTTACATCCGACAGTTTTTGACAATTCTAACATTTTTTGAATTTAAGAACTGAACTCAACCTGCAATTTTTGAGTTTCGAGCAATTTTTATAGTTACCAAACTGTTTTTGACATTTTTGATAATTCTGACATTTTATTTTTTGGTTATATCAATTGTTATAAATTTTTTTTGATTAAGCAATCTAACCTCATTTTGACATGTCAAATTTTCCAAGAGGAAATTTTGTTATTCTCAAATATTTAGATAATTTAGCTCTATTCTGCCTTTTAGATTCTATCTAAACAATTTTATTACAAAGTACTAAAAATAATTTTATTATAAATTGATATTGGGTGAAAAATAAATATTATAAAGAAAAATTTGGTTTATAATTTTAATTTTATAAAAAAAATAATACAGACAAAATGGAAGCATTTTACATTATTTTGTAGGTATAAAAAATTATTTTTTTTTTAAATAAGGTGTAAACATAAGTTGTTATAATATCGACTACTTTCAGGTCAAAACGATCAATTTTTTTTTTAACCACCTTAAGAAATATTCAAATATTGAATAATTATATCATATCGAGTTAGTATTAATATTATTATTATATCAAAAGTTTTTTTTTATTAATTCTTTTTATTTAAATAGATCAAAAAAAAATTTAAGAAAGCTTCTACGGTATTTTTAATTTTACGGGAATGACTAATTTATTTATTATTAACTTTTTTATTAAGGGAACGTTGTATTTTAATCGTATCAATCTTCGATTATGTTATATTTCGATTAATTTGAAACAACTAGTTATTTGAAATAAGTTTATCAAATAAATTTTTATCTTGGAAGCAGAATTTAAAAGATTATTAATAGTCAGTCTAATAAAAAACGATAAATTCTTAATTTTTGATAAGAAAACAACATTAAGGTTCTTTTTGAATCAATTAAATAAACTTAATTTATGATTTTAAAGTTAAAAAATGTTTATTTAATTGATTCAATCACATTATTTTAATTAATTTATGCATTTACCACTAATTCCGTAATAATTTGTGTTAATTAATTTCATTATGCATAAAAAAAAGATTACAAAAATGAATTTAAGATATGTTTTCGAACACACACAAATAATAATTAAAATATATAAAAAATTATATAATAAATTATATAATTGTTTTAATTAACACATTTTTTCCTTTAATATTTTTTTTATATAATATAATACATATTATTAAACTTTTTTCCATACAAATTACGTCTTATACAAATTTAAATGCTCATAACATTTTTTTACGAGTTTACAATTTAAAAATATATCACACAAATTTTAAAATAATACACAGAAAACATGAAGGAAATTGAAAAATTAATAATAAAATATTTTCGAAACATTTTCTTGTTACATATAGTTTAAATAGGAAGTTTTAACGTAAATGTACGTCTTCCCTGCTACAGTTGTTGTGGTTGTTGTCGCGTTTTGAATTCGCCGATGACAATAAATGAGCTGGTCTTTCACCCGTCGTTATCACCTATTAAAAACAATTTTAGTCACTCTAAATGTGTAAAGAAAATGTTATTTCACTAAAGTAAGATGATTCATGAAGATTGTTTTAGTGTGAAATTATAAATAAGAATTAAATTAAAGAAAAACTTGAAAATGTAAGAAAAAAAAGCTAAAGAAGAAAAATACTAATGTAGACGTCATACATAAATATATTAAGTAAAAATACAGGTGTCTCAGAGTTGGTTAAATTAAATTAAAATGAAATATTTTATACAAAAATCTATCGAATTTGGTTCAAAATAGTCTAATTTTGATTTAAAAATAGAAACGAAGACTGTTTCGAATTAAAAAAAGACAAATTCGATAAATGTCAAAATGTTAGAAATGTCAAAAATGCACAAATTCGATCAAAATTAACTAAAAGATAGTATGTTTGCTCGTAGAACAGTTTTTAAATGATTGAAAACTCGTTTTATAGTAGTTGTGACATGACCTCATATGTCAATAGATTTGCTTGGATTATTTGACATATGCGAATGGAATTTCGAGGTTAAAACCAGGCAGAAACGGTTTGACAGTATTGTGCAAACAAGCACAAAGTAAAACATATATACAAACCACAAAAATTATGAAGTGTTGATAAATATTAAAGTGTCACAAATGTCAAAAATTGACAGTTTCAATTCCATTTTCGGACAGCTGTCCGATTTAATTCAAATATTCTTATTTTAAAAGAAAAATAGAAAGAAAAGGAAATGATTCTTAGAAATTATAAAATTTCCTTGAATGTCAAAAATTGACAGATGTCAAAAGTGAACTAAATTATTGACACATTTAACACATTTAGTGTTATTACAAACAGAAATTAATAAAAATGTATAAATATTTAAAAAAATTATAGTGAGAAACTATACAGTGTCCACCAAAAAGTCAGCAACACCCGCTATTTTTTGTTCCATTGCATCTACGTTTTTAAAATTTAGTTTATATGCGAGGTTCATACCGATCCTTTGATCTAAAGTATTTTCAAGATGGTGGTCCACCGAAAGTAGCCCTCAACTTCGTTATTTTAAATGGAATGATATACTTTTTATGGCACCTTTTAATTATATGCAAAAAAATAAGTTGAAAACTTATATATATTATATCTTGAAAACTCCATATCTTAGCAAACGTTCATTCAAAAAAACTCACGATTACTCTTCAAATGCTGTCAAATAAATTGTCATTTGCTGTATCACAGCACCTTATACAGGGATGGTCAAAATTGAATTACCGTTTTTCCGCAATCGGTATGAATCTCGCAACATGCGTACAAATTGTACGCAGATTTTATAAAATTTCCATGAATGCCAAAATGTCACAAATGTCAAAAAGACATTTGTAAAAAATGAACTAAATAGACAACCTAAGTCTTGACGTCACAGAGATGGGTGGAGCTTATACCGACTCCAAACATCTTCGTTGCTAACGATAAATAAGTATGGAATTTTTCAATTAGTGTTAAAATAAAATAAACTAAGTGACATTTTAAATGACATTTTTATGGCGGTATAAGGTCCGCCCACCTCTGTGACGTCAGACTTAGGCAGTCTATTATTGACACATTTAATGTATTGCGAACAGAAATTAATAAAAATGTAAAACTATCTCAAAAATTATAATGATAGACGTCAAAATTACGATTTTAAAAATTGTTAAATTTCAATGTCAAAAATTGACAACTACAATATTAAGAAACAATTTGTGTAATTTAATTCAAATATTCCTATTTTAAGTCAAAAAGATGTTATAAATTTATAAAATTTCTATATCAAAATGTCAAAAATTGACAGCTACAACATCAAGAAACGATATAATTGTCGAATTGAACTCAAAACAGTTTTATTTTAAAAGGAAAATCGCAAATAGGTACGAAGATTTTTGAAACTATAAAATTTCGATATATGTCAAAATGTCACAAATGTCAAAAATTGACAATTACAGCATAAAAAAGCTATATAATTGTCAAATTTAATTCAAATATTCATACTATTTTAAAAGAAAAATAAAAAGAAATTATAAAATTTCGATGAATATCAAAATATATACAGGGTGTGTCAAATGTCTGGAATATAGCCAATAATTTTGCCATTTATGTTTTTAAAGACATGTTTCAAATACAAGTTTCTTTATTAATCGTGCGCATTTGTTGGCGATATTTGCTTGTTATATTGTTATTTTAAATGGGATACATATGTTTTTTTGCATATTTTGATAGAGGATAAATCCTTTTATGCGATGAACATATCAAATCATATGGTTGTATAAGAAAAAGATCGAGAAAAAATGCGTTTTCTGAAAATATTAAATCAGCAAATTACAAGTAAAGTAGGCGTCGAAATAAAGACGTTGACAGCTTTAAATGTCAAAAAAATGACAGTTTCAAAAATTATGAAAAATTAATTATGTATAGATACGGTGACACACATTTAATGTAGTTTCGTCATTGGTAGCTGTCTTCGGCCGTCCACTTTTTGGAAGGTTTTAAACACTTCCGGTGTTAAAGAATTTTTTTTTAATATTTTGGGTACTGTGGATTGTGTAATTTGTGTATCTGGGTAAATATTATTGAACAGTGTACAAACTATACTTTGAATGCGTTTTCTATCACCGTACTCATGCAACATTAATATTAATATTTGTTTAAACTGTCAATTTTTTGACATTTAAAGCTGCCAACGACATTATATCGGCGCCTACTTGGATAGTAATTTGCGCTGTTTTAATATTTTCAGAAAAAGCAATAATTGCGTATTGAATCCCTCTATTTGAATCAAAATTTTAAATAGAAAAATGTAGACGCATTAAAAAGTTCTGATGCAAAGTATTATAGGGGTTGATTTTTACAGCCCCTTGTAAATAGTGTCATTTTATTAGCAATAGTTATCTGCCAAATGTCATTCTTCTAAATTCCCCCATAGTGGATATATTACATAAAAACAATTTTTTTCTTTTAACTTTAGAGTGCTGTAACTTGGTGGGGAAGGGATTTTGAACAAAAAGTTATATGAAAGACCCCTATAATTTTTGCTGAAAAATCACTCCTTGAAATCTTTCGCATCAATTTAGAAACATCCTATATAATTGTCGAATTGAACTCAAGATAGTTTTATGTTAAACGGAAAATGGCAAAGAAGTACGAAGATTTTTTAAATTGTTCGATATGTCAAAATGTCACAAATGTCAAAAATTTATAATTACAACATAAAGAAACTATATCAGCCCCTCAGAGATAAGGTATGTTAAGTCACAAACTCGAAATTGTTAAGGAGAGAGATTTGAAAGTGGACTTAACCTATTAGTTGCCACGATCCCCATTTGGGGATATTAAATTTTAACAAACCTCACTTAGCAAATTACAATTAAAAAAAAAGTTGGCAGTTAATGGGTTAATGTTTAAACAAATATGTACGTATGGTGGAGATAACTTATTTCGCAAAAAATGTGACTTAACACATCTTACCTCTGAGGTACTGATATAATTGTCAAATTTAATTCCTATTTTAAATATTCCTATTTTAAAAGAAAAAAAATTATAAATATTTTATAAAATTATAAAATTTCAATGAATGTCAAAAATTGACAGATTTAACACATTTAGTGTTATTGCGAACAAAAAATATTAAAATTTTACAAATATCTCAAATTGTAATGATGATAAACGTCAAAATGACACAAATGTTAAAAATTGACATCTATGACATTAAGAAATTATAATTAAAATATTTTATTCAAGTTTTATTTTAAGTCAAAAATTTACCGATTTCTCAAAACTAAACAATTGACATACTTAGTGTTATTACGAATAAAAATGTATAAATATCTCAAAAATTATAGTGATTAATGCGAAAAGATCAAGATATAACAAGAAACTATATAATTGCTGAATTAAACTCAAGATGTTTTATTTTAAAAGAAAAATAGCAGAAAAATAGCAAAAATTGACAGATTTGTCAAAAACAAACTAAATTATTGACACATTTAATACTTAGTGTTATTGCAAACAAAAAATGTATACATATCTCAAAAATTATAATGATGATAGACGTCAAAATGTGAAAATGACGATTTTAAGAAATAAAATTTCAATTTCAAAATGTCAAAAAATTGACAGCTACAACATCAAGATGCTATATAATTATTGATTCTAATTTAAGATAGTTTTAATTAAAAGGAATATGGCAGAAATGTCTAAATGACAAAAATTGACAGATTGTTTGTTTTAATTTTTTGATATAGTGCTTTTGTTGTTGGATCTCTGATGGATTCTATATTGATTTTTTCTTTGGTCATATTTTTTAGTATTTTCTTCTGTGTTTATCCGTAATTTACAAACGATCCTATATTAGCTAAGGTTAATCATTTCATGTCTAGAATTTGGGTTGAATGTGTAGCCCTGTTCAATGTTATATAGTTTATCATTGAATTTTATTCTCGAGAGTTGTGATTTTATGCTAAGGAGTACGTTTGAGGAATATGTTGTTTATTTTCATCTTGTAGCTTGGACACAGGTCTATTAGTATCTTATTAGTACTTCTCCATTCTCATTGATATGTTCGTTATTAAAGTGATGTTTTATCCTAGGTAATATATCATTTGCATAGTACATTTCTTAGTTCGTTTTCTAGACTTACATAGAATGTGTCTGTTTCTTCTCCACTTTTGCTAATGTCTAGAGCACACTTGAGGTTCCCTGTTCCTATGGCTAATGACACTATAAAGTTTCTTTCATTTCCATAGCGTATGTCTTGTATAAGATGTTCGTATTTTTTAACTATTAGTAACCCTACTCCTGTTGTTACTCTTTTGTGTTTGTAGACCCCACTGTATATTAAGACGTACTGATTTCTGATAGAGCGCATGTATGTAAGTAATGTTGTTCCACTCCCAGAAGGAATTAATTTTTTTTGGTATTCCAGGACATCATGTTCCACCGCGCACCTGTTCGAATACTTCTATTTTCTACTTAGTTTGTATTTCGTATTCATTCCCGCTTTCTAGTTTCATACCAAATTCGGTTTAGTGCACTAAAAAATTTCCTGAGTTTAAAAATATTCAAGCAAAATAAAAAGCTTTGTTTCCAATAACTATAAACAACAATAAATACGATTCATATCCCTTTAATTTCTATAGTTAAATTCGATAACTGTATTAAAGTATAATTATACACTACTTTACACGCTGTAAAATAGCACAATAAATATTTTATTTTATTTAAAATTTAACCAAATTAACTCACATTACCGATTTAATTCCCGATAGTTGTTTCAATAAACTGAGACACCTATATATATAGAACACGATTTTAAATAGTAAATTAAAAGATACCTTTCCGCNTAAGAAAAAAAAGCTAAAGAAGAAAAATACTAATATACGATACATATTAAATTAAAATACAGGTGTCCCAGAGTTGGTTAAATTAAATTTAAATGAAATATTTTATGCAAAAGTTAAGTTTACCAAATATTGCAATTATTTTGGCAGGTACCAATACTTTAAAATAAATGTAATACAATTGAAATCAAATTTGATTCAAAATAATCTTATTTTGATAGAAAAATAGAAAAAAGACTGTTTCGAATTACAAAATGACAATTTTCGATAAATGTCAAAAATATACAAATTTGACAAAAATTAACTAAATTGTTGATTAATATGATATTGCGAAATGAAGATAGTATGTGTTAGTTCGTAAAATAGTTTCTAATTGATTGGAAACTGATTTTATAGTCGTTGATGTCAAATAATGAATTCACATGTCTATTATTAGACATCTGTCAATGGAATTTCGAGTTTGAAACCAGACAGACACGGTTTTACAGGTTGTACTAACAAAGCCTAGTAAAATACATACAAACCAAAAGATATATGTATAAAGCGTTGATAAGACATTAAAGTGTCATAAATGTTAAAAATTGACATCAAGATTGAAAAAATTGATCAAGAAACTATATAATTGTCGAATTTAATTCAAATATTGTTATATTACAAAAGCAATAGATAGAAAAAGCCAAAAATTTTTAAAATTAAAAGAAATTCAGTAAATGGCAAAATGTCACAAATGTCAAAAATTGACAGTTAATAAAAGAAAGTATCTACCTAATTGTCAAATTGAACTCAAGATAGTTTTATTATAAAATGAAAATGGTAAATATGTTCGAAGATTTTTGAAATTGTAAAATTTTGATGAATGCCAAAATGTCAAAACTTGATAGATTTGACAAAAAAGAACTATATTATTGACAGATTTAACACTTTGGGTTTTTGCGAATAAAAAATAATAAAAATTTATAACATATCTCATAAATTATAATGATGGTAACCGTCAAAATGATAAACATGTAAAATTGACAGCTACAACATTAAGAAAACTATATAAATACAAAAAGAAAATATAAAAGGATTTTATAAATTTGTAAAATTTCGATATCAAAATGTCAAAAATTGACAACTAAAACATCAAGAAACGATATAATTGTCAAATTGAACTCAAGATAGTTTTATTTTAAAAGGAAAATGGCAAATATGTTTGAAGATTTTTGAAATTGTGAAATTTCGATGAATACCAAAATGTCAAAACTTGACAGATTTGACAAAAATTAATTATACTATTGACATATTTAACACATTTATAAAAAATAGTGTTTATTGCGAACAGAAAATAACAAAAATGTACAAATATGTCAAAAACTAATGATGATAAACGTCAAATATCACAAATGTCAAAAATTGACAGCTATAGCATTAAGAAACCATACCAATTATCCAATTTAATTCAAACATTCCTATTTTAAAAGAAAAATAGAAAATTACAAAGATTTTATGAATTTATAAAGTTTCGATAAATGTCACAAATATCAAAAATTGACAAATTAAAGAAAAAATTAATAAATTATGGGCACATTTATAGGGTTGTTGCGAACGAATAATAAAAATTTATAAATATCTAAAAAATTATGGTGATGATAAACGTCAAAATTTAAAAATTACAATGGTTTTAGGAAATTATAAAATTTCTACTATGTCAAAAATTGGCAGCTACAACATTAAGAAACTATACACTGTACGACAAGATTATGGAATAAATTCAATAAAACGCTTAATAGGCATTATTTTGCAAAAACAAGCCTATTTTGGTTGTTCAACACACACTTTTTGAGCCCATATTGACTTCCCGATAGTCATTTGTTTTTAAGTTATGACGTCATAATTTTGCCGCACACTGTATATGTAATTATCAAATCTAATAGACAACCTAAGCCTTGATGTCACGGCGAAGCTTATACCGACTCTAAACATTGTCGTTGATAACGGTAAACTGTCATGAAATTTTTCATTTAGTGTTAAAATAAAATAAACTAAACGTGACATTTTAAATGACATTTTTTGGCGGTTTTTCCTTAGCAACGAAATTGTTTGGAGTCGTTATAAGCTCCGCCCATCTCTGTGACGTCAGATTTAGGCAATCTATTCAAGATAGCTTTAATTTAAAAAAAATGACAAACATTTTAATTTAACATTTTTATACAGGTGTTTCTGGAAGTCGTGGTATAATGTTAATCACCAATACAAGAATAAAAATGATGAAAATACGCAACCATGGGATCAACGCTATACAGGTGTTCACAAAGATTATTTCCTTAAAATTATTTTGCAAAAACAAGCCTATTTTGGTTTTGCAAAACACACTTTTTGAGCTTTTTGATATTTACTTCCCGATAGTCATTTGTTTTTACGTTATGACGTCATAATTTTGTCGCACACTGTATATGTAATTATCGAATCTAATTCAAGATAGCTTTAATTTTTAAAAAAATGACAAAAATTGACAGATTCTCTGTTTGCTTTAATATTTTTATACAGGCTGTTTCTGTAAGTCGTGGCATAAATTTAATCTTTCCGAGACAAACCATATTGAAAATATTTAGTAAAATGTTAAAAAATTTCTTAACTTCTTCATCTCAGCCATTTATGTGTTTAACCATATTAGATGTTATACAGTTTATTGTTGATTTTTTTTCTTGAGAGTTGTGCCATGTGATTTTATGCTGGAATTTATGTTTGAAGAATGTATTAATTTATGTTTATTTTCATATTGTAGAGTGGAGTATTAGTACTTATCCGTTCTCATTGATGTGTTCCACCTAGAACTATACCTAGAATTGTATCATATCCAACTCTGGCATTTAGGTCACCATTATAAGTAATTTTTCATTTGCTTCTTCTCTGCTTTTGGTAATGTCTTGAGCACACACATTTGAGTTTGAGGTTTCCTGTTCCTATGTCTAATGATACTTTGAAGATTCTTTTATTTACACCATATATGTATTGTATAAGATATTCGTATTTTGCAGCTATAGTAGCCCTACTCATGTTACTCTTTCGTTTTTGTCGACTCCATTATACAGGGTGTACAAAAAGTATGGAATAATAGGTCTACAGCCTAAACTTCGACTTATATTAAAAAAAGTTTTAAATAAAAGCTTATACCGACTCCAAACATCTTCGTTGCTAACGAAAAATCCCCATATGCAATTTTTCAATAGCCAAGGCTTAGGTTGTCTATACTGAATAAGTCTGACATCACAGAGGTAGGCGGAGCTTATACTGACTCCAAACAATTACGTTGCTAACCACAGTTGCTAAAATGTTAGCAACGAAAATGTTTGGAGTCAGTATAAGCTCCGCCCATCTCTGTGACGTCAAGGCTTAGGTTGTCTATTGGCAACGAAAATGTGTGGAGTCGGTATAAGCTCCGCCCATCTCTATGACGTCAAGGCTTAGGTTGTCTATTACTGTTAAAATAAAATAAACTAAGTGACATTTTAGATAAATGATATTTTTATGGCGATTTATCTTAGCAACTGTGGTTAGCAACGAAGATGTTTGGAGTCGGTATAAGCTCCGCCCATCCCTGTGACGTCAAGGCTTAGGTTGTCTATTCCATAATGACGCCATAATTTAGTTGTCACTACGTCAAATCTTTTTAAATAAAAGTTACAATATCTCGAAAACTATGCAGTTTAAAGCATTAAAACCTTATGGCCTTAAGAAAACCTTGTCAAAAGGAATCCAAAAACCTTAAAATATACAGGGTGTTCCATTTAAAAAACACACTCACCATGTCGTAACTCAGACTGCCGTCATCAATATTATTTTATTTCTACGCCAAGATATGCGGAAAATAGTTTCAAGTAACTTTTATTTAAAACTTTTTTTAATATAAGTTGAAGTTTAGGCTGTAGAACCATTATTCCATACTTTTTGTACACCCAGTATATTAGTATGTAGTGGTTTTTGGTATTATATGACATTATGTTTCCTCTACTTCCGTTTCCTTTACTTAGTTTTCCAGTTTTTCGCAAAGTTCGTCGTAGTTCAAGTTCGGTTTAGTGCACTACAAAGCTATCTAAGTTTAAAAATATTCAAACAAACCAAAAAGCTTCTGATAACTACAAACAACATTAAATAAGATTCATGTCCTTTTAGTATACCAAGTAAATAATTTTAAAGGAAGCTGTAATTTTTCAGCAAATTCGATATCTGTATTAAAGTATAACTAGACATTACTTTACAAGCTGTAAAATAGCACAATAAATATTTTATTTTATTTAAAATGTAACCAAATGATCTCACATTACCGATTTAATTCCCGATAGTTGTTTCAATAAACTGAGACACCTGTATATATAGAACACGATTTTAAATAGTAAATTAAAAGATACCTTTCCGCGTTGCAAAATTTTAATATCACCTCGCTCTGGAAAATAACTTTGCAACAAGCCTAAATGAAAAATAAAAAATTAAAATAAATCAAATAAATGAAAATGATTGTATTAATGATTCGATTTAAAGGCAAATAAAGCTGTATTGAGGTACACACAAACCCAAAAAAAATATATTTATAGGAAACGCTATTAATTATTATGTGTATATACAGAGAATCTTCCATGATATAATTTTTAGATTTGTGAATTCACCTTAAAAAAAAAAGCAAAACAAAAACAAAGCTAACATAAATCTCAAACGTAGCTTTTAAGCATTATTTAAAGCGCATGAAATGATTTAAGTTACTTATTGTACCTGTTTTTTTCGCCTTTAAATCAATACGTTTGTCGATAGAAGACTCAGAACTATCGAGAGCATCTCCCGAATCCGGGGTATTCCCCGTGGATGTTATCGGGGAGCTCCCGTCGCTCAGCAAATCACCTGATTTATGCTGTTCCGAACTAACCATAGACCACGGCCGTTGTTTTGTTGAAGGGGTCGGAGTCGATTTCAATTTAAATTGTTTTAAAGATTCCGTTTCGTCATCTATCAAAATAAGCACAACTTTAACAATAACAATTTAAAAATTTCATTGACTAACTTGATGATTTCAACCCATCTGTTGATAATCCTTTCGTTATTGAACTCGAAGAAGACGAATGATCGACGGGAATATTCATTTCCGTCGCAATACTTCCATCGCTGCTACCTTGAGATAACAAACTATCCCCGGTTAATCTTCTAGTTAATGGTGACGCGTTATCTTGGGAAAATGATTTTTTTGAGGGGGTTGGAGAATATTTTTCGAGGTTATCCGTTGAACGCGATCTGGGAGTTGGTGTTAAAACACCTAAAAAATAATTTAATTAATAATAATTATTATTAAATTATTTTTTAATTTTTTTACCTCTAAATAACGGGGAATTCCTACTTAATTTCGGCGTTTTTCTATCTTCGTTTAAAACCGGTGATGAAAATCCATGATTAGGACTACCATCGGCTTGGAAAGAATTGCTACAATCGTCGGAAGTGGGGGTGCAAGATCCGGGTCGAAAGAACGTATCCAATCCTTCATTTAAATCGTGACCCGTTGCAACGGAATCTATAACATCAGTACTTTTGATAAGCGGCCGCGTGGGAGCTCGCGTTTTAGCGCGACGTGGTCGTCCTTTAACCAAATGTTGAAGTTGATAAGTTGCGTTTGGTAACTCCGTTACGGAATCTTCTTCTTCCGTGCTACGAGGTGTTGCAGGTAAAGTTGGAAGCAAACTGGGGATGTCATCCGCTGAGAGACCTTCTACGCTGTCCACGACGGATTTCGGACGTAGTTTTCTTGCGTGAACGTTTTTTCTTTTAATAGATAGATGAGGAGTTGCCTAAAGAATATTTATTTTAGTAATTGTAATAATATTTGGGAGGTGGTAATATTTTTTTGCACTTACAAGGTTTAAATATTCCAATTTCTGATTGCCGGATGAAAAAAAAATGAGATATTTCAATAAATAAAAAGATTATAAAAGAAAGTTGTGTTCATACATGATGAATCAGAATTTAAGTACCGTAAAATTAAAAATGTAATACATTTTTCACAAGAAGGTGTGGAACTAATAGACGCACTTTGGGTAATAAATGTAGGAAGAATACTCAAATGAAATTTTATAAGACGAAGAAGAAAATTTTATAATTTTTAATGGCAATACCGACCCTGATGTATATTAGAGAGGAACTGGAAATTTTCGCAATTAACGATAAAATTAAAGAATACAAAGAGAAATGGATTTACCACGATCAGTGGGACGTCCGAAAAAGAGGTGGTCTGAAAAAAAGGTACAGGTCAACAAGGCCTAAACTGTTAAGTAGACGACGACAACAATTAAAAATGTTAAAAGTTGACCACATAAACCAACATTCGATCATCGAAATAATTCATCTAAACCTTGTCTCATCAAGAACGCCTCCAATAATACGATCGTTACAATTATATCATTTAACCGTAAATGGGGATATATCAGCAAAGATGTAAGTCTTATGCAATCTTATTACACTTTTTTAAGAATGGTGTGATGAAAGAACGCGGATTGTTTCAAAGTGAGGTTAGAATAAATGTTTTGTTTATATTTGAAATAAAAATGTCAAAAAATATACCAATAACTTCTTCTTCTTTCTCTTACCCCCATTTATAGTTGGGTTTTGGATCGATCTTTCTATCTCTGGTCATAGTCCGTACTTGAGAGAATCTGTTCCCTCTTCTTTCAATTATCTTCTCAATCTCTCCCTCCCATTGGGCTCTTGGTCTACCACGCTTTCTTTTCCCTTCTGGCTTCATGTTGAACATTTTGAAAAAGTTCTTTCTATATAATCTCAGATCATTTATAATCTGAGAACCTCATTGGTTTTTGTTGATCATAAAAAGATCTAGATCTAAAAACGGTGATTGTTTTCCGAAAAATGCTTCATTAACTCTCTTTCAATTTCTTCAATGAGTTTCTTATCTTCCCAACAAGGGATAGGCTCAATATATCATAGGTTACAACTCAACATTATGTGGAGAAGCAAAATGTCTTGGGCAAAAAAATATGCCATGCCAAAAACAATTCAACATCAGAAGGAGAAGCAAGAAAATAGATAGATATAACATCATATAAGTTCACTTTTTTCCTATAATACCTGTCAAACTGTTGTAAAGTTGGCAAAATCAACAGGGAGTTTTGTTTTATCATGTTATGAAATAAATATGTCACACTGACGTTTGTTTGAGTTTTTGTTAATAAAATTGGTAATAAAATTTGCGTTTATTTGCCATTTGTTTACCTAGAAAAGGTGTTTTGTTCTATTTCATTAGTTTGTAGCAAGTTTTTACAATAAATATGTACTGCGTTAAAATCGTATTTATCTAAAAATGTATTAGTATTTTAACCTCAACTATTTAGTTACTAAAAATGTTACTAAAAATCAGGAAAACAACATAAATTGTATAAGGGTCCTAAGTAATACCAACAGAAACCCTACATAATTTACCTTGATAAGTATTATAGAAAACAAAACGAACTATATCAGATTTTGACATCATTTGCCAAAGCAAAATGTCTTATGCAAAAACAACAAATGTCATGTTCAAGGAGTTGGTGCGAAAATCACTGTTTAATCAGCTAAATTGTCTAAATTTTTCACTATACTTACAACTACAACATAATACGCAGTACGGAATCTTTTGGAACTCCACTATAAAGCAGAAATACTCCAGGGAATGAGTATCGCACACTAGATCAAAACATACGAACGCAACAACTTTTTGCTATTAGCTCTAAGGTTCCAAAAGTACCAGGTTAAAATATTAAGAACTACGTGGGATACAAATTCAACCATTTTTTAAAGTATCGTCACCACATACAAAAGAGTTCTAACAAGTATTTTAATTGTTCTTTACTGAATATCAGCGGTTCTCAAAAATGGACGATAACTTATTTAAAAAATTAACATGCGATATCTATGTAACTATTAAGTTTTTAACAAAACATTATTAAGAAAATCTCTTCAGTTTGACCCCAAGTATCTACCCTTTTAGTCTGCTCCGTATGTTATAAGTCACCCTGTATATTATACACCTCTACATTGCTCCGAATAGCTGTATTAGCTGTTTATATAATAGACATGTAATAGCTAACTCCCAACACTTCTTTTTAAGTGTCATTAACTTTAAATATTACGTCGGATTGATTCCCAATGGCTATGAATTTGCTTGAAATTAATTTTTGTTGATCCTAAAAAGATCTGCAAGGTGTTTTTTTTTCTAACAATGATTCATCCTTGTTTTGACCCTCTTCCAATTTCCTCAATGAGTTTTTCACCCTCCCAAAAAAGGATACCTTTTCGGTTACTAACTTTATTCTCGAAATCAATCCCCACCAATTTTGGGGACGATTGCTCTTTGTTCTCTTTACAGTTTCCTTTGCTTCTTGTCCCTTTTGTCTGTACTTTTCCTTGTCCGTTGCCGCTCCCGTTCTCCTGAAGTTCCTCCAGGCCTGCTTCTTCTGTTTTATCTTAATCACTTACTTCTCTTTCGATTTTGATTATTTTAATTCCAAATACTCTGGTTGCTGTCTCTAGTATTGTTTTTCTGAACTCTTTCCATCTATCGTTGAGACTCCAGTTCTTCTGATTCGTCTTATTCGTCAAGCCTGCTTAACCTCTCCTGAAATTCTCGTTCATACTCCTCCCTTTTTCTCTGTATTTTCCAATTCTTCCAGTTTTAATGTTTCATATATGGTTGTTGTTTCTTTCGGAGATGCTTTCAGGTTGATATCAGTTATCAATAACATCTTGTACTGCATATCTCATGGATCTAGGCCTCATGGAGTAAGTTAGATAGTCTATTATGCTCTTCTGCCCTCTTTGTGTTTCCTATTAATAGTTGATTATTAATACAGAAATCTAACATTCTTTTCCCATTGTTGTTAAGGACCTCTTCTCCTCCATNATTTTAGTAATTGTAATAATTTTTGGGAGGTGGTAATATTTTTTTGCACTTACAAGGTTTAAATATTCCAATTTCTGATTGCCGGATGAAAAAAAAATGAGGTATTTCAATAAATAAAAAAATCATAAAAAAAGTTGTGTTCATACATGATGATTCAGAATTTAAGTACTGTAATATTAAAAATACAACAAATAGAAAAATTACAAGAATGTGTGAAACTATTAGACGAACTTTGGGTAATAAATGCAGATAGGTTACTCAAATGAAATTTTATAAGACAATGGCAATACCGACCCTGATGTATGGCAGCAAAGAAGCATGGGTGACAAGGGAACAGGACCTAATCAAGATAGAGTCCGCGGAAATGAAGCTTCTAAGAGCGACCAAGGGCTGTAACAGATTGGATCATATCAGAAACGAAGATATTAGAGAGAAACTCGAAATTTTCACACTTAACGATCAAATCAAAGAATACAAAGAGAAGTGGATAGACCACATCCAGAGAATGCTGGATGACCAAAATTGGCAGATTGGAAGACGATCAGTGGGACGCCCGAGTAAGAGGTAGTCTGATAGGTACAGGTCGACAAGGCCTAAACGGTTAAGTAGACGACAACGACAATTAAAACTGTTAAAAATTAACCACAATAAGCCAACATTCGATCATCGAAATATCTCATCTAAACCTTGTCTCATTAAGAACTCCTCCAATGATACGACGGATTCAATCAACCAATCAGCTTCCACTTTTCTAAGAATGGCGTTTAGAATAAATGTTTTGTTTATATTTGAAATAAAAATGTCAAAAAATAACTTCTTCTTTCTCTTGCCCTCATTTATACCTTACGCTGTTGGATTTTGGATCCATCTTTTATACATCTTCCTATATCTAACCATAGTTCAAATCTCTTCCCTCTTCATTCAACCATCTTCTCAATCCCTCCCTCCCATTGGACTCTTGGTCTACCACGCTTTCTCTTCCCTTCTAACCTCATGTTGAACATTTTCTTTGGTATTCTATCTTCTTTCATTCGAACTAGATGACCACACCAACTTAGTTGTTTTCCCGCTATTTCCTGTACCAGGGGGTTTAAGCTTAGTTCTTTCCAGATGTTCTTGTTCTGTACCCTATCTCTTCTGGTTTTCCCCAATATCTTGCGTCTTTACTTCATCTCTGCTGCTGTTATTTTAGACGATGTTGAACAAGAACAAAAAAGAAAAGCTTGTCCAACATCGTTCAAGTTTCTGATAATTAAATGTGGGTATATAGATGGTTTTATATAATTGTATTACTTTTGCTTTTCTGTTGCGTATTCCCTGTATATCCTTACTTATATGGATATACAGGTGTATCATATACAGGGGTATGAGTAAACAAAATTTGAGGGGTTATAGGTCTCCTCTTTCTGAATAAAAAATTCTTATAACACAATGTCTCATTCTTTGTCCTTTTTAAGATATGATACGATAAAGTTAAGGGTTCACAAGTTTGAGTACTACTGGTTAATGAATTATACTAAGCAGGTTTTGTTTTGCAATTTGTAATTTGTTTCTAGTTTAGTAATTTTGTTGTTTTTAATACAATACGCAAGTATATTTATTAAAACCTAAATATTTGTAAATTTTCACATTGAAGAGTGATAAAACAGAAGAGATAAATTTATTCGTATAAAGTAAACAACCTCTAAAAAAATATCTCAAAAATGACTTTTATGTGTCAAATTAAAGCTGTATACATAAGCAAAGCCTGCTTAGTATAATTCTTTATACAGCAGTACTTAAACTTTCAAACCTTTAACTTTATCGTATCATATCTTAAGAATGGCGAAGAATGGAACATTGTGTTATAAGAATTTTTTATTCACAAAAAGGGACCTATAACCCCTCCAATTTTTTCTATTCATACCTGATACACCCTGTATATTATATAAAATGGATATATATTATCCTTACCACCTCCAACGACTGGAGGCCCCTCTATTCTTACCACAATATCTCTCATTTCTTCTTCTTTTGTGATGTGTAGGATCTTACTTTTGCTCTTGTTTATTACCATTCCCCTTTCTTGTAGGCAGGTATTCCATATTTGGATGTTTCTTCTACTCTGCCTGACATTAGTACAACATCGTCCTAGTATGTAAGGTCTCGAGTGCAGAACGGGGTTAGGTTGCGGAACCCCAGTCTCGTCTGAGTAGTTTGTCTTTTGACTTGCTTTATCATTTTGTCCATGTGTGCTACAAAGAGCACTGGGCTAAAACTGTCATCCTATTTCACTCCCTTTGCCATTTTGAACTCTTGTGACGTTTTTCCATTTAGTCTAACCCTTCCCGTTACGTTATAGTATCTGCTTTTGAGTACTCTTCTTAGTTTTGGACTTGCCCCCAATTCGCTTAATGCTTCCCATATATGTTGTCTTGGTACCTGGTCGAAAGCTGCTTTTAGGTTTAGGAAGGCCAAATATATATCCTTATTCCTCTCCGTTGTTTTTTTCTATTATTGTTCTGAGAGTGTATGTGGCCGGAATGGAGTGGTCCTGTTCTTGTCTGTTTGGCCGGAACACCGTTTGTTCCTCTTCGAGTTTTTCTTCTATCTGGGTTTTCAGTCGTTTTTCTAGAATTTTTGAATAGAATTTGAGCGCAAGCGGCGCCAAACAGATTGGTCTGTAGTGTTCGCAGCTGGTTGTTTCCCCCTTCTTATGTATTGGCACTATTATATATTCTTGTTCCATTCGCGGGGTATTGATTCAGTATTCCATGTCTGCTGTACGATTTTCGGATCTCCTCTTTTTAGTAGTTCTGCTGATATACTGTCGTCCGCTGCTTTCTGCTCTTCCTCCTCTCGACTCTCCTCGCCTTCTACTATATCCTCTTGTTTAAATTTTGTCTCATAGCGGGTTTTCCATGTTTTTAATATATTTGTACTATTGGTTTACCCCCCTTTAACGTCTTGACTACGTTCCAGAATTGTTTCTGATTTCCCCCAAAATTTTCATTTAACTTCCAAATTCTTCCCAAGTTTCCAGCTTTGCTCTCTTTACAGTTTCCTCCGCTTCTTATCTCTTTTGTCTGTACTTATCCTTGTCCAATCCTGCTTCTTCTGTTTTATCTTAACTTTGATCTTGGCATTCCATCACAAATTTAGTTCTCTTTCGATTTTGGCCAGTTTTGACCATTTTAGTTTCGCATACTCGAGTAGCTTGCTACTATCATTTTTCTAAACTTTTTCCATCTTTCGTTGAGACTCCACCATTCTTCTGATTTTATCTCTTATTCTTCCAGCCTTCTTAACCTCTCCTGATGTTCTCTTTCATACTCCTCCTTTTTTTCCTGGTTTGCCAATTCTTCCAGTTTTAGTCTTATATATATATGATTGTTGTTATGGATCTAGAGTAAGTTATATAGTCTATTATGCTCTTCTGTCTTCTTTCTTCCGCTTCGTATGTTATTTTATGAATATTTTTGTCTTTGAACCTTGTGTTTCCTATTAATAGTTGATTGTTTATACAGAAATCAATCATTTCTTCCCCATAGCTGTTTAGCAAGGAGAAGCTTCGTGTTCCCCCATTGTTCTATATCCCTGGTCCTATCTGGGCGTAGTCACTGATTACCAATAACCTCACTAAATTGCATGGAAAGTGGCAGTGAGAGTGAAGAATAACATTGAAGATTACAATCCTATCGACTACATCAATAGAGAGTGAAGAATTGTAAGAAATTTATTTTTCACCTGGAGTTATGCCTCACACAAAACTCATTAGCAAAGGTTAAATCAGAGTTAATTAATGGCATTAGTGACCTAGGACATGGACGCAGATTGAACTGATTTATTGTTATGTTGGGAAATGATCCCCAAGCGGTTTGCACAAAAACCTTAATATTCCTTGTATAGGCATTGCCATAGAAACTACTCAGCTGAACCCACGAAAAGATGGCACTCCTCAAAATTTTTAATTTTAGAAATTTTCCTAAACTTGATTTTAGTATTTTTAATGATTTAAAATTTTTAATTAATTACCAGAGGTGAATGATCCGATTGATGACTACTATCAGTGATTGAAATATCACTTGCGCCGTGCCTAGAACTATCAGAGCTGCTCAATCTGGATCTTCTAATTGGAGAATCCATTTTTAAACCGGTCGAATCGCCAAGTAAAACTTTATAGCTACGCATTAAAGCCTCGTAAACTTCATCCGTTACTTGTTCGGAAATGAAAGCTGCTATGATTAAGTTTAGTTCGCTACAAAAAAAATATATAAATAAATGATTATATTTAATTTTAATAATAATTTTTTGTTTACCCCAATTTATTCATAACATCCGTTCCAGCTTGATGTTTAACGCAATTAACCACAAAATCCAAAGGAATTTGTTTTTTATTTTTACAATCTTTTTTGATATCTTGAATGACATGGTTTTCATTTAAAACGTACGGACACAAGTCTTTGCTTGATTTAATCATTTTATCCGTTGTGGTCTAAAAAACAATTATTTTAATAAACAAATATACTGTGTTGAAATACAAATAATTGTGTTATTTTTAATTTTGTTTATTTGAAATTGTTTAAATTTGTTTTTAAGTTCTCTTATTTCAGGGTTCTTTATACAAAATAATAATTTAGCAAATTCAGGCTCAAAAGGAAAGTTTATATTACAGATTTCTATTTTAAATTCGTTAACTGAGAGAGAAAGAGAGAGCGTAACGTCAATAATGACAGATATCAAATTGAACGAAAAAAACTATTATGTTTACGTTAAGACACAATATACTCTGTTTTTTAATTCAGAGGAGTGTTTTCAAATTGAAGCGCCAAAAAGAAGAATTGCTATTGGTCACTTTTAAGCAAAAATTACACTAGGAAAATTCGAGATGTTGCCGACCGCCTAGATACATTCGGATTTAGCCACACGTCTCTCAAGACGGGTAAACCCTGAATGATTCTAGTTGTAGGTCTCATGTTAGTTTTAGTGATAGTGCTAGTGTAAAACTAGAACTAACACTAGACCGAGAACTAGAAACATTCGGGTTTAGCCACACGTCTCTCAAGACAGCTAAACCCGAATGATTCTAGTTCTTGTGTTAGTTCTAGTGATAATGCTAGTGTAAAACTAGAACTAACACTAGACCTAGAACTAGAAAATATCCTCAGAAACATAGCGAATTTTATGCTAACTAGCGCTACCTACCACTTACTAGCCGTCTTAAGAGAGGTACAGCTAAACGGAATGTTTTTAGTTCTAGGTCTAGTGTTAATTCTAGTGCTAGTCCAAGGACAATAAATCTAACAGGACTGCTGTCTATTGTTGTAACAATATGCCCGCACACTACATCACACCATTCGCCACGCCCAGTCAGCTGTTATTGTGGTTTATGCGTTTGCTGTGTATTTTTAGAGGTTATTTCGTAGATCTCTTCACATTAACTTCAAAAGTAAATCAAATGTGTATCATATAACCTCTAAAAACACACAGCAAACGCATAGAACTCAATGACAGTTGACTGGGCGTGGCAAATTGTGTGACGTAGAGTGCCAGCAACCAACCTGTAGTGGGCTACGAAACAACAATAGATGTAGCAGTGCTGTTAGATTCTACTGACCTTGTTGTTAGTCTAATTTTATTTGTTATTCAACTAGATTATTGTATATTTTCCTTCCTACAGTTTACTTAAAATCGTCTCTGGTTTTAAAACTCCCGCAAAAAAAAAGCTTTGAAAAATTAAACTGTGTAAACGTGACTTTTCATTTTACTCCTTCAAATTAAAAAATAGAGTATAGTAAAGATTTAAGTCGCTTGATAATAATCGATAGATTTTCAATTAAAATGAAAGTAACAGTGTTATCGCGTAATTTTGAATCTTCAACTGACTCGTAAGTTATTTTGAATTATTGACATGAAAATTAACAGCAAAATTCACACTTATCTGATAAATAACTTTTAGGTTATGTTGTAACTCAATTCGATCGAAGGTCTATATTGGATTGGAAAGTACCTTTTAGGAATGGAAAATGGACAGGAATCTGGAAAACTTCGGTTTGAATAATTATTCTTCAATTGGTCTTCTTCAGAAAAATTTATTTTCGATGTTTAAATTTAATTCTTCTTTTCTTTTTTAGGTTATATAAAATCTTGATTCGGCGTTAAATTTGTATTGAATTATCGGAGAACCAATTTAAGGTTAGGAAACTACTTTGGATTTTTTTTAGGTTAGATTTTTTTTAAACATACTCTTCCCCTTACTAAATTGGACTGACTTGGTTCAACTTTTTGCTCGTCTTATATACCCTTTTCCCCTTCCCCAAAAATTTTCTTCGTTTTATTTTTAACCCTCACTCCTGATTGGTTGATATGTTTCGCGCCGTTTCTTCCCTTAAAATAATTTCAAATCTTTCTAAATTTCGAAAACGCCATCTAGCGGATTTCTTTCGAACTACTCAAAATTCCAAATTTTTTTTTTATTCATATCTTCTTTAATTCTTCACCAATCTGGATGAAACTCCGTATTTGATACATATATTTTTCTATTTCAGCTGTCCATTGGAGGTTTCAAGATTCTCCAACCACAAATGAAGTTTGATTTTACAAAATTTAAATCTAATTTTTAAGATCAAAATCGTTCAAAATCTTCCGGAATTTAATAAATTGGAGGTAAATGATACTGATCTTCCCGTTTTGGATGGTTTAGAAAGGATATTAATAGTTTTAAGAAAATTATGAGCAATTAAAAATTAACTGTCAACTCAATTGAGGTTATGTTTTTCTCTCATTGTCAAATTCAAATAAAAACTTTATTTCAATACTCACCAATAAATAATCATTAATACTAGTATGAATTTCCATCGCACAATGTTGCAACTTAACCTTAACCGGATGCACCTCATCCTTTTGTTGGGCAACTTCCTGCAATCGATTTAAAAGTTGCTTACAATTCTCGGCATCTTGAATAACACCGGTAGCGTGGTTAATATCGTTGTTAGAGGCGATCGATTCGGATGCCAAATTCTTAATAATATCCTGAGTTTGTAAAACCAAGCGATCGATTGAGTGTTGTTTTGAGCTTAATAAAAATCCTGGTTGCAACGACATATGCTTGTTGCGTTCGTGTTTACTACTAGGCGAAACGTTCCTATTTAATAAATCCTGTATTTTCCGCATCACTATATCCGCTTTTTCGGCTGAAGAGGCTTTCATACACGGAGTTATATCGTTAATCGGAAATGGCATGTATTGTACGGTTCGATTACTCTCTAAAGCGTATGCTAAATCGTTATAACCTTGTAAAGTAATGTTATTTCGATCGTAAATGATTGTTTTTAATTTCGTGTTGATTTGTAGCGCTTTCGCTAAAAGCCTCGCCCCGGAATCTCCGATTAAATTTCCACTTATATCGATTGTTTCGAGACATTTATTATCACCGAGGGCGTTTAAGAAATTGTGAAGATCCGATTTTAAACGACAATCAGGCATGAGGAGTGTTTGTAGGAGGCATTCGTCGTCTTGGATGATTTGTACGACCGCATCCATAACCGTCACGATGTGTTTCGCTTTCATATTCATCATGTTTCTACCCATACTTAAATGTTTTAATGATTTATTTTTACTAATTGCTATTACAACGGCACCTAATTCTAAATCCATATCTAAAAAAAAGAAAAATTAGTTAAGAAATTGATTTAATTGAATTAGATAGATAGGGCTTACTATTATCAGAAATATCAAGACTAGATATACACCTGACTCCGTGCACGCACGATTCTAAAACGTGAGCACCATGGCTACCCAACGAATTATTACTAATATCTAATGTGATTTCTTTAGTAAATTCGTTACAAGCAAGACCAAGAAGTAAGTTTCTAAAAATTAATTGATTTTATTACAATTTCTTTTATGATTTGTATCAAAATTTACTTTAAAGCCTCTTGTGGTAATTTACAATGAGACATATTTAAATATTTCAAATTCATAGTTGCGCTAAAAAATTGTTTAAACGATAACGGAGCCTCTTTACATTTTTTGCTGCTAAACGGATTTCTCGAGATGTTTAAATCAACTAAATTGGTTGTACAACCTTTCACCAAAGCACCAAATAACTAAAAAAAATAAATTAATTAATTAATTAATACAATAAAAAGAAATTAGATATTTAATATTTACAGTTTCTAATAAAATATCAGTTGAAGAGAGATCGAGATGAGTTATGGCATTGGGATGACTCAAAAATGTATGTAAACTGCTAATATCATCTTTAAGATTGTTTCCTTTTAAATTTAAATAAGTAAGAGTCGTATACAAACTGCTACGGTTAATAAACGCTTGAGCCAAATAATTTACACCTTTCGAAGAGAGTCCTGTATGTGACATGTTGAGATGTGTTAATCCCTTATTTAATTTTACGATACAACCCGATAAATAATTAGCACCTAAAAGTAAAAGGATAATTAAAAAGATTTCAAATTACACTAAAACCTCGATATAACGAATTAATATGGGGAAGGGGTGTCTGTTATAAGAATAATTTTTAATTAAAACATCTATCCACACCATTGCGTTCTTTATTAGTTGGTTTTAGTTTATTCTACTAACGCTGAATAACTAAACTAGAACTAACACTAAACCTAGAACAAGAAACATTCGGGTTTAGCCAAACGTCTCTTAAGACGGCTAACCCCAAATGTATCTAGTTCTGGGCTTAGTGTTAGTTCTGCTTTGAGTTCAATAAAAATATGCAACAATCTAGCACAGAATAACAACTAAAACTAGAATTAACACTACGCCTAGAATCTTCTATTTATTTATTACATATTGGGGATGCATACAGGGAAAATACAGGATGTCTCAGCGAGACCGGTCATTAGACGTTTCTGGGGTTCTGGCCAAACAAAAAATTTGACAATGCAGACTTAAGTATTATCAATTACGTTCTCTTCATCTAAAATATTTTCAGATTTCTAGCACTTCCGGTTATACCGGAAGTCGCCACCTACTTTATTTTTTTAAATGGAACACACTGTATATTTTTACATATTTGGATTTGTCTGTTTTTAAGGTTTATAAATAACTTTACTTTTTGCAATTTGAACCAGCAATTCTCGAGTTATTCGAATTTTTCTAGAAAAATTTGCTCCAGCGGACATTTGTTCAAAAAATCATAGAACACTCAATTTTTGAGATATCAATTTAGGATTCAGAACATGCTTAAACAACATGATGGAGTATGTTTTGATGCCGAGAACGGCTGTCTAGATCGTTTGGTCACTTTACTATGATACGTTAACTTTTCGAAATTTGGAAGCACCATAACTTCATTTTTTTAAATGGCACCCCCCATATTTTATTACTTAGTCGTCTTCGGCATCTCATTTTACATCTTTTATACTCCATATGTCCTATGCCTAACATTAATAGTTTGAGAAATAATTAGGGTTTTTTGAAAAATGCTCACATATCATATGGATATTAACCTAGTGTGCCATGGAAAACAAATGTTTAATGACTTATTGATAAACGTCAAAGTCTAATTTAGGTTGTTTAATAGTTGGTGGCGACTTCCGGTATAACCGGAAGTGCAAGAAATCTGAAAATATTTTAGACGAAGAGATCGTAATTGATAATACTTAAGTCTGAATTCTCAAATTTTTATTTTCGCCAGAACCCCAGAAATGTCTAATGACCGGTCTCGCTGAGACATCCTGTATATCCCCAACAAAACATCCTGATAGTAACGAAAATTAATAGAAAAATTGTGACATAAACTAAAATAAATACAACAATAAAGCGATCAACAAAACATCTACTATACGTTAGTTAGTACACATTCTCTAAAAGAGCGTAAAGAAACGTCAAAGAGAGATACATGATTGAAGCTCTGGTTACAGGAATTAAGAATTCGAAGTAATGGTGAGTTTTGATAAAGGTTGGTATTAGATACGTTAAGACGAAATGTGGTGTTGTAACGTGTAAGCCGTTGTGGTACCTTAAAGCTCAACTCAGGCAGAAGATTTGGGGTATCCAGCATGCCATTAACAAACTTGAAAAAGAAGATCAAGTCAGAAACAACTCGACGTTGCTACAGAGACAATTAGTTGATGACTATGCAACGCCTATCGTAATCGCAGTAAGGAAGATAAAATGTATGTGCCAAATAATCCACGCAGGCGGTCAAGATCCTCCAGCAGTGTAAGCAGGCCAGATTAGATCCGATCCTTGTGAATATTTTATTATCCTCAGCATAGAGTAAAAACTTAGAAAATTTAAAACAAGAAGAAATATCGTTTATGTACATTACAAATAGTAAGGGTCCAAGATGACTGCCCTGAGGCACACCGGATGTGATAGGTTTGTAACCAAATACAAAGCTACCAATCCTGACCGCCCGACTTCTGTTAGATACATAAATACAGTGTATTAATTAATTTTTATGTGAATTTTCTTTATTTTCGGCTCAACCGGTTTCGACTATTCTTTTTTAGTCATCTTCAGGAACAATAGCCACGTCGGTTTCACTCTTAATTTTCATAATCTGAATTCATCTTTTCTTTTATTTACGTTTTCTTGAATTCTTTGTTATTAAATGATGTTAAATTTGTTTCTAATTTTATGTTTGTAAATCTAAAAATAATTTTAAATTATTATTACTAATTTTATGTAATTTTTGTCTTGTTAGTCTTTACAATATTGTAAAGACTAACAAGATTAACGTGACATAGAAAATAAGAAAAAACATAAAATTAGAAACAAATTTAACATCATTTAATAACAAAGAATTCAAGAAAACGTAAATAAAAGAAAAGATGAATTCAGATTATGAAAATTAAGAGTGAAACCGACGTGGCTATTGTTCCTGAAGATGACTAAAAAAGAATAGCCGAAAATAAAGAAAATTCCACCCTTCTGAAAATCAAAGTTTTTTATTCACATAAATATTCTAACAAGATGGGAAGTAATAATATGAATGTATTAATTAATTATCGTACCCGACGTCATCATTGCAAGTATGCAACCAACATCACAGTGCAATACGCATCATACGCAAATCGCGTATTGCAATACCAATACTGTGGTATTGGTTGCATACTTGCAATGATGACGTCACGTACGATAATTAATTAACACTGTACGACATAATCCAGTGAACAAGACCATCTGGAATATGAAATGAGAAAAGTTTCTGTACAAGAATAGTATGATCGATTTTGTCGAAAGCTTTGGAGTAGTCAATTGCGTCAATCTGAGAATCCTCGTTTAAAGCAGAATGAATAAAGATTACATAGGACAACAGATTAGACTCCACCGATCGTTCAGACAGGAAACCATGTTGTTCATTGATTATAGAGTGAGAAATAGAGAGACTAAGATATTCGTGGATAATTTTTTCAAAGACCTTGGAGATAGCTGAAAAGATAGAGATACCGTTTTCCACATACTTGGGAAAACACCTTCAAGTAAGGACTTCAAAAAAATATGAAACAGTGGCGTAGACAGCTCAGTAGCAAACTCTTTTAAGAATACCATCCAGACCAGGGCTAGAAGACTGGTCAAGATGCAACAGAACATTTAGCGGAAAACCACGGCAAAACTCCAGAGCCATGGGCAACCACTGAGCTGTCGATTGTGCTATATATGAAAATATACGAGAAATAATCCGAGAAAGCACAAGACATCGCAGGATACAAGTAATTGAGGTTGGCATGCCGGATGAGGAATCCTTTTTGCCATTAACAAACGACCATTACCTTCTTTGGTTTCCCCAACACATCTGCTTGAATAGAACTTAGTAATACGAATCATCCCTAAATAATACGAATATAGTATCTATTAATAGCAAAGTTAACATGTGCGTAAAAGACCTCAACGATGCATTCCACGTCCATCCCGGCAAAGGCAGATCCCCAATCAATACCGTTTAAATAGTTCTTTATACCCAAGGAATTTGCTTTCTTGTAAAGAAAACTAATTTTTGGGCCATCAGTCAAGTAAGATAACGTGACTGATTTAACAAATACAAAAAACGGGTTGTGTCTGTTAGAATCCACTAGTGGATAATTGTAGGGATGAACAAGGTGAATACAAGATCCAAAAGTTTATTATTATCGTTTAAGACATTATTAAATTGACTAAAGTTACAAAGTGTTAAGAAAGTGAACGACGCGACGCTCGAAGGTTCCCGTCCATGTGATGGATGGTTGATTAAAATCACCCATGATAATAATCATAAGATCCGGATATTTATGGCGCACAGTACATACACTGGATAAGAAGAGATCAAGTGGCATTAGGAAAGAGGTAAACACAGCACAAAAGAAAATGATACTGACCGCAATGCACTTTTAACCACAAGTCTTCAGCACCGCATAGGGACGACGTAAAGGCCCTTCTTAACGGCGACAAGGACTCCTCCACCATCCCGCTTGGTAGACGGTGTTAATTCTCTGTCACGACGATATACAATATATGAAGGGTTGGGAAGTTCCACATCAAAAACCGTAGAGTTGAGAATGGTCTCGGTAAGACAAAGAAAATCCGTCGATAGCGCATAAAAATTAACTGAGGTAGTATTCGTTTTGGAACGTAAGTTTCGGACATTTTGGTAGTAGAAGTTTTGGCCCATGAATAGTGAAGGAAGAAAACGAACGCGATAAAGAGCCCTGTCTTATAATTTATTCAATTCTGACTGGGATTGGACTACCAAAGCCTTCGCGCTGTCATCGTTTCTTACAAAGCGCAAGAAACCAACCAAACGCAACGGTGGCAAGCATGTCAAAACCATGCAAAACACTCTGATGTTGATAGCTTGATACGGCGCTCAAATTCTATGTCTAGTGTTAGTTTTAATTTTAGTTTAATAAAAATATACAATCTAGCGCTGAATAATAGTTAAAACTACAACTACTGTCCTTAATTTAAATACATCATAGAGACAACTTGGGAAATACCCCTAGTTTATCTATAAACATGGAATAGAGCAATTTGGAGAATAATCCGATTTGAATTCTATCTATGAGAGCTAACATGTATATTTAAATATAGGGTTCCGTTATATCGAGGTTTTAATGTACATAATTGATTTTATAGGTTACCTTTATCTTCAATTGGATTATTTGAAAGATCAATAATACTTAAAGGAATAATAGCGTTTCCTTTAATAGCATTATGCAATTTATTCACAAAACACGACTTCAAACCTAAACTATCTAAATAAATCTCTTCCAAACTAAGCGATTTTTTGATCACTTGAAGCACCTTTTCGATGTTATCGTGAGATAATCGTACATGGTTAGCCCTAAGTTTTGTGAACCATGTATTGTATTCCAATGCGTTTATAATAGGCACTAAATCTCTGTTAAAAAAAAATAATTTGATCAATATTATTAAATCATAATTGAATATTTACTTTTGATCTAAATAATCAAAATCCTTAAGGCATAACTCCCTAGTGTTTAGAGAAAGATAAATATTGTCGACGTCCCAAGCGACTTCCTCTCGATACGGCATGTTGTGGTAATCGCACATGCAAGCATATTGATTTGAAAAACCTCCGCATGGGCCTACTTCCCTTATGTTACTTCCAACGGCTTCGATGTCTCTTAAAACTTGTAATCTCGATGTGGGTATTACATCAATCTAACAAAAAAAATGTTATGTCACTATTGAACATAATTAGACACTACTAAGCACCTATGTAGCTAAAATTATTTTACATCATAATTGCACTGTTGCGTTACATTCAATTAGTGATAAATCAAATTAAATAATTGGGCAAATAATTTGTTGCACATGAACACTGCTTATAAAGAAGCATACTTTCTTAATTAATTAATCCATCGATTGATTAAAAATTACTTAACTTAATATTTTAACTATCGGCGTTGGGGTATGGCTATACAAATTTTGTTTTTGAAGTGTCGCCTTCGGCTCGTGTGGAAATCCCACATACGCGTTAATGAAAAATCATAGTTTCCTCACTTGTACTGTAATATACTATTATTTTTGTTTAATTCGTGCATTTCAAGCGTGTCTTACGAAAGTAGTTTACAAGAATTCAAAGAATTTGATACTATTAATTGTTAATTTATTGTTATGAACAAATTATAAACACAAAATAATCAACATTTAATTGTTTTATCATTTCATATTTAAATGCAAATTTATAATAGTACATTTGTTCAAAATGTGAGGTTAAGTCGATGTGACGTTAAGTTTTTGACATAACATTATCTCGAACAATTTTTTGCTCGCTAAAGCTCGCATAAAAAGTGTCATTTCGCTATCTTGTATTAAAAATAACTATTTTCGTATGATTAAAGCATAAATTAATTTTCGTACAAAAATATGACGTTTCATAAAATTGACATTTAATTTTGACAAATTGTTGTGAAGTTGGTTACAGTTGGTGACATTGAATTTGTGTCACATTGACGTTTAAACTTTATTCAAAAATGTATTTAATAAAAATTTATGGAACTTATTTTTATATTAAATAGTAACATAAATCATAGTAACAAGTTTTTACGCCTTTTTGATAAAAATTAAAATGATTTTAATATGAAGTAAGGCGGATCTGTGCGGTTACGCCACGCAAACCTTTTCAAATGATTAAATTATAAATAATTTACCTTCCGAATAATATACTGTAAAGGAACAGTAGGAAATATGTTTCTTACTGCCGTAGCAAGCGCCGATATCATATTATCCACTTCAGTGCTACAGGAGGAGTCTTCGCCGGCCAAAAATGAGTAGATTTTATCATTAACCGTTATACTGAGTTGATTACCTCGTTTGCTTTCTAACGTTTGTACTTCCAAGTAATGGAAGTGGCAGTCAATCTACAAAAAAATTTTAAATTAAATAAATAATTTTGTTTGATTCAAAGTTTATTTACCCGAGTTGGCACCTTGGCAGTGAGTAGTAAGATTCGACATGGTGAAAAAACCTTGTAAAAAAAGAATAAAACATATTAACCCATTATTACATCAATCAGGCATTTCCAAAATTACATCAATATGACCTAACAATCCTAAGACAGAGATTTCATCATTTATTTTAATTACAATGTCCCAATATCTTTCTTTTATGAAATTAATTCATTTTAGTTTGAAAGTGAAACGTTTTAAAGCAATCCCTTTTTTCCGTGCATGGCGTCACTTTGCATTTTTCGCATCGCCACCTAACTCTCATGTGGCATTGACGACATCTCAAGGGATCGTTTATTTTAGGGTGCTGACCAACGGGATCTTCTATAATGTTTTTTGGTAGAGAACCTAATGGTGTAAACTAAAGGTAACCTAAAATCTATACACTCTTTAACTTAATGGTTCCTGAGTGCTAGATACTGTTGGCAAATGACCAATTACTGCTATGAGAAGACTAAAAACTGCTTGGAAAGAGGAAATATATATTCCAACAAGTTACCTACTGCTTCTAAAATGCTAGATACTGCAGAAAAAAACCACAACTTACTTGGAAAAGACTAGATACTGTTTTCAAAATAATACCTATTGCTTCCAGAACGTTAAACACTGCTGTTAAAGGTTTTCACCTAGTTGGACAGGCGGAATACTGCTTCCAAGACTACTTATTGCTTTCAAAGACTTTAATAATTGTTTGAAAAAGAGATATGCTTTCCAAAAAGCTACCTACTGTTTCCAGAATGTTAGATACTGCTGGAAAAGACTAATAACTGCATGGAAAGAAGAGATATCCTTCCCAAGAAGCTACCTAATGCTACCAGAATGCTAAACACTACTGAAAAAGACTAATAACTACTTCGAAAGAAGAGATATGCTCTCCAAAAAAAGGTACCTACTGCTTCCAAAATGCTAGATACTGGTGGAAAAGATTACAATCTGCTTGGAGAAGACTACAAACAACTACAAACTGATTGGAAAGATGAGACACTGCTTCCATAAGACTACTTACTGCTTTCAGAGCGCTATATACTACTAGAAAAGATTACGACCTGCTTGGAGAAAACTAAATACTTCTGGGAGAATAAAAAAATAAATAAAATACTGCGGCCCTCTTTAAACGTTACATTCGGATCCACCTAATACACTGATTTATTTAAGAATTTTGTGTAGAAATTCCACTTTGACTTAGGTTAATTAACATTTAAACCAGTACAAATTTCTCAGATGTCGGGTTGGGCATGGAACAGAGGTTGGGTTGTAAATTCCGGGTTGGGTTCTTCAGACGCACGACTAAACCAGATACCTTCTAGTTCTAGGTCTAGTGTTAGTTCTAGTTTTACACTACCACAATCACTAGAACTAACACAAGACCTAGAATCATTCGGGGTTAGCAGTCTTGAGAGACGTGCGGCTAAACCTGAATATTTCTAGTGTTAGTTCTAGTTTTAAATGTATTTAGCCGTAAGGTGTGGAATCTTTATTGAAAGGAAAGTAGAACTAACACTAGACCTAGAACCAGAAACATTTGGGTTTAGCCGTGAGTCTCTTAAGGCGGCTAAACCTGAATGTTTCTAGTTCTAGGTCTAATGTTAGTTCTAGTTTTACACTAGCACTATCGCTAGAACTAACACAAGACCTAGAACTAGAATCATTCGGGTTTAGCCGTCTTGAGAGACGTGGGACTAAATCCGAATGTTTTTAGTTACCGGTCTAGTGGCAGTGATAGGTAGAGCTAGTTAGCATAGGATATTACTATGTTGTATATTTTTATTGAACTAAAACTAGAACGAGGACTAGTAACATTCGGGTTTAATCGTGAAAAAAACTTTCAGTTGTCAATGTCAACTTTAATTTTATTATTATATTCGTAACCTTCATAAAATAACCTTTAAAGTGAGTCCAAACTTGACGCATTTATCTCATAAAACCAAAAAGTTCGAACTTTCCACTTTTAATTTTGACATATTTGTCAACTTCATAAAAAATCCTTTAAAATGAGTCCAAACTCGACATATTTAACTTTAATATTAATGGAAATACAATCACTTCCGGTTTGAAACGTCAATTTTGACATATTTGTCATCTTCATTAAAAAACCTTTAAAATGAGTCCAAACATGACGCATTTATCTCAAAAAACAAAAAAATTAGAATAAAAAACATTAAACCTGAAGTTAGCAACAATGAAGATAGNAATAAGAGTTTGTTGTGGTTTTTCCCACGTTTTTATGTATTGTGATGGTTCTTGGAACTAAAAATTAGTCATCGGCATTTCTACCTACGACATTGAATTGTGTCGTAGCTTTTTATTTGGATCAATCTTCTTACTTCCATCAAAAACAAGCCTTTTTCGACTAATTATAAGAAGTTATAATAAGCTGATTAATTCACAAAAACTTTTATCTTAATCGATTTTGACAGTTGCTATTGTGAATGCTAAAAGCCAAACAATCATTCTATTACCCTTGTTTTTCTGTGTTTTTTTCAGTACAATATAAACAACGATCTAATATCTTATCACTTTTCCTTTGTAATACGTTTCGTATAACATGGTGATATGCAAGAAGAGTTATTGCAGAATATGTATCTGGACAATTTTGTTATTGATTATTATCTAGATCTTCTAGTATATACGCACAAGAACAGTAGCATACAAATATTTCCTTGCCAACCCATTCACAGCAGTTTTTCGCAGTTTTTGGGGAAGAAAATTGTTGTGCAACCATGTGATCTACTAAAATTATATACCACTGTAGAGAGCAGAGAATTTCCTATTGATTCCATATCGTCTCAGACTTTTGTACAAATCATATAAAAAAGTTATGACGTCTTAAACATTTGCATACGACAATTACTTATACACGCCTTTCGCCATTTTTGTGAGATAAATGCTTGTGCAACCATGTGATCTACTAAAGTTATATACCACTGTATAGAACGGAAAATTTCCTATAGATTCCATATAATCTCGGAGTTTTGTCCGAATCATATAAGAAAGTTATGACGTCTTAAACATTTGCATACGGCAATTATATGCAGTTTTGCAGTTTATGGGGGAGAAAATACTTGTGCAACCTTATGATCTACTAAAGTTATATACGACTGTATAGAGCGAAAAATTTTCTATAGGATCTATACGGTATCGGAGTTTTGTACGTATCATATAAGAAAGTTACGATGCACTAAAGATTTGCATACAGCAATTAAACGCGATTTTCGCAGTTTTTGAGAGATAAATGCTTGTGCAACCATGTGATCAACTAAAGTTATATACCACAGTATAGAGCGGAAAATTTCCTATAAGTTCTATCTTGTTTTAGAGTTTTGCCCGTATCATATAAGAAAGTCATAACCTGAAAGTGATTTAATGCGCTCCAAAACCGAAGGTGTAAAGGTGTTTTTACAAAAAGATTATGGTTTTAAAACATCGTATTCGATTTTTTTATGCATCAATGGAAAGGGCAGAAAATCTCCTCTATTATTGATACGGGTTTAGTTTTCTTGTTCCCACCAAATAAAAGAGTTGTACTCAGAAAGGTCAATTTACCGATTCTATGTAGGGTTGTTTATCAGGAGTGCTTTTTTGATCGACGCCGATTGATATTGACTGGACAAAACCCGGATTTAGATAGCCCAAAGTGTGTTTTTTCCAAATTTATAATACTTTTTTGTTGACAATCTGTTCCATAACTGCTGCATATTTATACGATTTTGATATAGCAGATGACACGATTTGTTTAAAAAATCTTGCAAAAAGCCGTTTTGAAAAATCGCTTTTAGTTTTGAGAAATAAATTTTTGAAGTAATCGACAATTTTTGCGATTTTTGCAATTTTCGCCGATTAAGTTTTAAAAATTCGTATAAAATCCGGTTCTTGGAATATGAGTATGAAAATTTCCCAAAGTGTTAATAAAAGTGTCCTCTTTCCAATGAACCAACCCGTTTTGAAAAATAACTTTTAGTTTTTGAGAAAACAATATTTGAAGTTTTGATAAAATTTTCGATGTTGCAATTTTCATCGATAATTTTCAAAATTCGCTATAAAATTAATTTCTTGAAGGATCCTTGTGGAAATATCACCAATTATTAATTAAAGTGTCCTCTTTTTAATGCAACAAGCCGTTTTGAAAAATCACTTTCAGTTCTTGGGAAATAAATTTTTGAAATGATTGAAAATTTTTTCGAATTTTGCAATTTTCGACGATTAAGATTTAGAAATTCGTATAAAATTCAGTTCTTGGAATATAAGTATGAAAATTTCTCAAAGTGTTAATAAAAGTGTCTTCTTTCCAATCAACCAACCCATTTTGAAAAATACCTTTTCGTTTTTGAGAAAATAATGTTTGAAGTTTTAATAAAATTTTTGATGTTGCAATTTTCATCGATAATTTTCAAAATTCGCTATAAAATTAATTTCTTGAGGGATCCTTATGGAAATATCACCAATTATTAATTAAAGTGTCCTCTTTTTAATGCATCAAGCCGTTTTGAAGAATCGCTTTTAGTTTTTGAGAAAACAATATTTGAGGTTTTGCTAAAATTTTCGATGTTGCGATTTTTATCGATAACTTTCAAAATTCGCTATAAAATTAATTTCTTGAAGGATTCTTGTGGAAATATCATCAATTATTAATTAAAGTGTCCGCTTTCTAATGCAAAAAACTGTTTTGAAAAATCGGTTTTAGTTTTTGAGAAATAAATTTTTGAAATGATATATAATTTTTTCGAATTTTGCAATTTTCGCCGATTAAGTTTTAAAAATTCATATACAATTCAGTTCTTGGAATATAAGTATGAAAATTTCCCAAAGTGTTAATAAAAGTGTCTTCTTTCCAATGAACCAACCCATTTTGAAAAATACCTTCTAGTTTTTGAGAAAACAATATTTGAAGTTTTGATAAAATTTTCGATGTTGCAATTTTCATCGATAACTTTCCAAATTCGCTGTAAAATTAATTTCTTAAAGGATCCTTGTGGAAATGTCACCAATTATTAATTATAGTATCCTCTTTTTAATGCAACAAGCCGTTTTGAAAAATCACTTTTAGTTCTTGAGAAATAAATTTTTGAAATAATTGACAATTTTTTCGAATTTTGCAATTTTCGCCGATTAAGTTTAAAAATTCGTATAAAATCCAGTTCTTGGAATATGATTATGAAAATTTCCCAAAGTGTTAATAAAAATGTCTCCTTTCCAATGAACCAACCCATTTTGAAAAATACCTTTTCGTTTTTGAGAAAATAATATTTGAAGTTTTGATAAAATTTTCGATATTGCAATTTTCATCGATAACTTTCAAAATTCGCTATAAAATTAATTTCTTGAAGGATCCTTATGGAAATATCACCAATTATTGATTAAAGTGTCCTCTTTTTAATGCAAAAAGCCGTTTTGAAAAATCACTTTAAGTTTTTGAGAAATAAATTTTTGAAATGATCGACAATTTCTTCGAATTTTGCAATTTTTGCCGATTAAGTTTAAAAATTCGTATAAAATCCAGTTCTTGGAATATGAGTATAAAAATTTCCCAAAGTGTTAATAAAAGTGTCTTCTTTCCAATGAANTCTCTTAACATTTCTTTTGCTTTTGTTAACAAAGAGCGTTCTTAAATTTTAACCTGTAAACTTGTAATATTTCGTCCTTAATTTCAGTTTACAACTTTTTAAACTTTAATTTTGTAAATTAACACATCTTGCGCGGGCACTTTAAACATCACAAAAAGCAATCGATAATAATAATCCATCTATAATCCGTGAAAAACGATTTTAGTCGCTTCCCGCTCAAGTTGTAAAATCCGCACAAAACGACTTTAGTCCCTTCCTGCGCAAGATGTGTTAATAACTAATAATCTGATTTCGACTTTGGATTTTTAATTTGACACTTCAGAAGATGTTTGAATACAAATAAATATTGCTATGTTTATTTGAATTAAAAAAATATATGAGCGCCATCTATCAATAATTTATTAAGTCATTTAATAATATTAAATATTAATAAAAAATGTAAAATAATCTATTCCAACTTTTGTGTAAAACAAATATAAATTAAATACTTCAACAAATGTATTTGTTTCAAATATCAAAAATATGTTTTTTTAATTTTTAGTTATAATTTACAGGAAACTGTAAATTTCCCTGTACAATGGTCAATAATGGGTCAAAACGCAAAAAAGTTATTTATACATTTATTATTAAAAAAAAATAAAATTTAAACTTAATTTAAATTATTAATCTTAATTATAATTTATAAAATTAATCACAATGTATTTTTGATACATCTTCATATTGAACACCCGAAATTTTTCTTCCTTGTAACAAACCGGACGCAATTTCAACATCAACACAAAAGTTTCTTTCATCAAGTTTTAATAAGGTGGCTTTTTCACCACGATAAGCCCCATTAACAACTCTAACCAATTTACCAATCGCCGGAATAACCGTTTCTAAATGTTCTTGATCCAATTTAACTTTTTTCCCACCTTCTAATAATTTAACAATCGCGACATATTTATCTTGGACTTGAACCACAACACCTTTTTGTTTATAATAATCTTCCCCTAACGATTTCGTAACAATTTTAACAACAATCCCTTCAGTTATCCAATAATCTTTCCGATTCGACTTTTCTTTCTTTTTTTCCTCGTTATCCATGATATCATCCAAAGCTGATCGTTTTCTTCCTTCTGATTTGGTTGATTTAAATGATTTAATCGATTTTGTGTCATCATCTTGAACTTTAATTAATTTTGAGACTGGAATTGGGGCGGGTACTTTAAATTTATTCTCTAATTTGATTTCTAAGGTTAATTTTTCTTCTTCTTCTCTTTTTAATTCGGTAAAAATGGGTTCATCGTTTTTTATTTTTTCTTGTCCACGTTTTACTTGATTTTCAATGAATTCCATGGTTTTTTCTTCGTCGTCTTTATCCATTTTTAGTTTTTTATGTTTTCTTTTTTCTCTGGCAATCGTCTCGGGGTCTCTATCGATATAGGTTATGTACCACCCTTTTTCTGTGTCCTCTGATATGCATTTTCCGGTTGCTGCGCACCATTTTACGAACCCCGTTAGAGTCACCCATCGCGTGGAGTTCATGTGAATATGATTTTTATCAGTGATATACTCTTGGTAAACTTTGTTCGCCAACACCCGTTTCGTTCCAAATTGACGCCTTAATATGTCTAAATAACCTTTAGCGAAATCATAAGAAAATTCGTCCATATATTTCTTCGGGTTATCCGCAAATAATAAAAGTTGTCTTTGATGGGACTCCGACATCGTATGGCATTTAAACCCATTTTCATCTCTGCATTGTTTCTGACACATTTGGCAATACCAGCGTAGTTTTTGCAAACCTTTCGCTTTCATTTTATTCGCCAAATACTTTGGCGTCCCAACCTCCGCGCGAGGCATTTTTAATTAATTTGTTGAAAGAATCAAAGAGAAAAACTGACACAATTAATTGACAACTAATTCAATATGGCGCTTACTGTATGAAGTTAGTTACGAATAAAGCGCATGCGCGAAATATTGTTGACAACAAATATTTTCAAAAATTAATTGTCAAATTCTAAATGTCACTTTGATATTTTAATTTTTTATCATTTTTGGCGATTATATTACGTTTTTTAATGTTTATTTATTAATAACATTGATTTTAGTGTATGATTCATCAATTTAGCAATAATTATTGAGTAACATATACGATAAATGATAACGAAAAGTTATCTTTTTTATTGGTAGGAATGAATAATTCAATACACAGAAAGAAAATCAATTTGATTTAAAGCGAAAATATTACAATTAACCCAATGACATAGTTAAAATTCTGTTTGCTTTTGTAAATAATACAGTGCATACATAACAAGGAAATGAGTCATAACAGAAAGTACAAAATAAACACAGGATATTTATTACAAAAACAAATATTTGTGGAAATTTTTTTACATTTTAAAGCATACAAACTTAACTCTTTCAAGCTCAATTAAAATAAATTGGTTATGTTAAAAGAAGAAGAAACAAATTGATGTGTCATACACATTATTATTTTTTTTAACTGTTATAAGGACTCACAGACAATTGATGACTAACTAGACTCTCTATTTACATAACAATGATAACAAAAATTGCTTACCAAAACTCTATTTTCAGTTTTATCTCCTTTCGTTTCCAATTTAACAACATTTTTAAACAAGATTTTTACTTGTTTTCCCAACAGTACTTTGATGCTGTCTGCAATTTAAAAGAAAGACGTCAATTTAGATTTTCAATGTAACGTTAAAATTAATTACCGAAAGTATTTAAAACAAACTAATCGCCCCAAGAGCTTATAATGTAAACTAAAGCTAGATATACACACTTCTTACCGTTTAAATCTTTCGTTAATTGCGATCGGGTAGACATAATTTGGTCGATAAATAAGTACCGTACAACACACCACGCTCACAGACGACACGAAGACATTCCGTTCTTTATTTCGTTTTAATTAATATAAGAAAAAACGATCCATTTTTATTACTGTCACCGTTGACACTGTCATCATTGCTGCTTCAATTTTCGTTTATTTCGTTTAGGGATTTTTCCGTTATTAAGATTTCAGATTTTTAATCTTTTTTGTTGGCTACAATGAAGAATTTGATTTATATTAAATAAAAATAATTATTTTGTGTTAAAAACAATAATTATAATTAATTAATAGCTGTATTATTAATTATTACATACTAATAAAGAGAAGAACAAAAATTATTGAATGAAGTTAATAAAATATTTTTAACTGTAATATGAGTTGCATACTTAGAATAAAAAGATCTTTATCAAAGATATTTATACTTATAATATTTTAAGATGAATTTTTCTACAATAATTAATTAGAAACCCATTTTTCTCACATTTTTATGTATGTAGTGGTGACACTTCAATAATATTTGTATCGGTGTTTAGTATAAATGTTAATAACAATTATGTTGTCCGTAATTATTAATTACCTGTGTAAATAGTGATTTATAATAAGGCTTTGTTGTGGTTTTTCCCACGTTTTTATGTATTGTGATGGTTCTTGGAACTAAAAATTAGTCATCGGCATTTCTACCTACGACATTGAATTGTGTCGTAGCTTTTTATTTGGATCAATCTTCTTACTTCCATCAAAAACAAGCCTTTTTCGACTAATTATAAGAAGTTATAATAAGCTGATTAATTCACAAAAACTTTTATCTTAATCGATTTTGACAGTTGCTATTGTGAATGCTAAAAGCCAAACAATCATTCTATTACCCTTGTTTTTCTGTGTTTTTTTCAGTACAATATAAACAACGATCTAATATCTTATCACTTTTCCTTTGTAATACGTTTCGTATAACATGGTGATATGCAAGAAGAGTTATTGCAGAATATGTATCTGGACAATTTTGTTATTGATTATTATCTAGATCTTCTAGTATATACGCACAAGAACAGTAGCATACAAATATTTCCTTGCCAACCCATTCACAGCAGTTTTTCGCAGTTTTTGGGGAAGAAAATTGTTGTGCAACCATGTGATCTACTAAAATTATATACCACTGTAGAGAGCAGAGAATTTCCTATTGATTCCATATCGTCTCAGACTTTTGTACAAATCATATAAAAAAGTTATGACGTCTTAAACATTTGCATACGACAATTACTTATACACGCATTTTCGCAGTTTTTGAGAGATAAATGCTTGTGCAACCATGTGATCAACTAAAGTTATATACCACAGTATAGAGCGGAAAATTTCCTATAAGTTCTATCTTGTTTTAGAGTTTTGCCCGTATCATATAAGAAAGTCATAACCTGAAAGTGATTTAATGCGCTCCAAAACCGAAGGTGTAAAGGTGTTTTTACAAAAAGATTATGGTTTTAAAACATCGTATTCGATTTTTTTATGCATCAATGGAAAGGGCAGAAAATCTCCTCTATTATTGATACGGGTTTAGTTTTCTTGTTCTCACCAAATAAAAGAGTTGTACTCAGAAAGGTCAATTTACCGATTCTATGGATTGTTGTTTATCAGGAGTGGTTTTTTGATCGACGCCGGTTGATATTGACCGGACAAAACCCGGATTTAGATAGCCCAAAGTCTGTTCTTTCCAAATTAATAATGCTTTTTTTTTGAGATTCTTCTGTTCAAAATTCGCTATAAAATTAATTTCTTGAAGGATCCTTGTGGAAATATCACCAATTATTAATTAAAGTGTCCTCTTTTTAATGCAAAAAGCCGTTTTGAAAAATC